GCGTACGATTGGAGTGATTGGGCTTAGCAAGAGAAAATTGAGTGACTTGGGACTCTTTGGCGTTGGTGAAGCCATGTTTGTTCTTTCGCGTAGGTTTACGCTTTTTTTCAGGTAGCATAATACTTTGATTGTTATAACGATTACCCCCACCCAGGTTATTGCCACCCTCGTCATCGTCAGAGGTGAATAACCGACTGAGTGCATCAGGTAATAGGTTACGCGTACCAGGGATATGAACCAGCTCATACTTGTAATCAAAGAACAGTTTTTCATACCACGTCAACAGCATCATGTTGGGCGTACTTTGCGTTTGAAGCCAGATTAAAGAGCGATGATCTGTGTGCAAGACAAACTCAATACCGAAAAGCCATTTGTGGTATTTGGTAAGCATGTAGACAATGGCAAGCAACTCACGTTTGGTGGTAGAATAGGCCATTTCAGAAGGGGAAAGCTTACGACTCGCCATGACAACGTAATGAACCACGCCATCCTTGATGTAGTAGATGATACCACCGATAGCAGTAGCTGAGGCATCAGTAGCGACGTGCAGCTTGTAACGAAAATCAACTGGGCTGAGAGCGACTGGAGACGACAAAGCATTCTGCAACGATTTGAATGCCTTGGTGTGCGCATCAGTCCACAAACCAGAAAGGGATTTACAATTGCGCAATGCATCGAGAGGTGCTGCCAGTTCGCTGTATCCAGGGATGACATTTCGAAAGTAATTGCAAAACCCCAAGTACTTCATCAGCTGCTTACCAGTGGTAGGTATAGGCCACAGATGAAAATTGGTCAATTTGCGAGCGTCAGGCACAAGGCGGTTCTGAATGATGCTCCAACCCAGCACATGAGTACTGCGCTGAGCAAACACAAACTTGTCCTGGTTAATTTGGAGATTAGCCTTGGTCAGACGACGGATCACCTCAGCGACTAACGCAACGTGCTCATCCAGAGAGTCAGTGTACGTAAGGCACCCTAAATCGTCGATATAAAGTGACACCTGATCAAGCATGTCGGTAAACAAATTGGATATCAAGCGCATAGCTAAATTGCCCATGAAATTTACTCCAAAGCAAACCTTCCTGTGGACCCATTGCGTTTGCGTGAATGGATCGGTAAAGGTTAACTTGTGGCGATGACGTGGATCGACCAAGAAACTCGTGAAGAAACTTTTGATGTCGATGGAACTTGTCATGACAGCGCGGCTGTGACGAGCATGGATCTCATCAATGCGAGGCATAATGTACTTGTCAGTGGAGACCAAGATTTGGTTGAGTAGGCGAACGTCAGCAACAATACGTGGCTTGTCAAACGAATATTCACCATTAGAATTCTTTTTGGCAACGACGAGCAAAGGAGAATTCCAGCCATTATGACTTGGACTGCGCTCAATGACACCATCTCGTTCCCACTCCATCAACTGCTTAGACACAGCTTCCTTATAGACAACTGGAATAGGATAGGGAGCACGATAGGCAACCTTACCAGGGATTGTCTCGAGTTGGACAATCGCACCAGGCAAGTTACAATGAGTAGTGGCAAGATCAATGGCAGCATTTTCTACCAATAACTGTTCAATAGGTTTGAAAGCCTTTGCACGCTCAGCAGGTGATCCGTATGGATCGTTATTAGGCTCGATGTCAGGATCAATGGGGTCGGGAAGTCTGGGTCCAAGCTCTTCAAACCATGTTGAAGCAAGGCCAGTGATTCCAATCTGTAGATCAGGCATGATATCCAACCCAAGCAACATGGGGCAATCATCCGAATCAGTAAAGAAATCAAATATCTCAAATGTGTGAATAAAACTGCGTTTATTATACGAGATTTTAAGTGAGCAAGTGCCAATACGAGGTTTAACACTGTCTGTATGGCCTAACTGGACCTGACCATGAACAGAGCGGTTGATTTGAACACCAAGCTGGTTGGCGAAACGAGGGGAACAAATTGAAAATGTACATCCCGTATCTAAAACACCATATACCTTGTGCGATTCTACGACAAGCGGAATAAGAAGTGAATTAGACTTATTGACAGGCAAGATGGAACGTTGATTATCCTTACATTTGTGTGCATGAACTGCAGTATGTAGATCAATGTCCATAGGCTCAACAGCCGAGTGGCAATCACTTTGATCGTGACGACTCTGTTTAGCAACAGCAGCGGGCACCAACAACGAGGAACCAGATTCACTCGAGTTGTTGTTACTTTGCTGATCTTCCTGAACAACAACAGAATTACCAGTAGTAGGTTGGGCTTGAGGAGACGAAACAGACGATGACAACAATGCGGCACTGCGGCCACCATTGGTCTCAACAGCAAGACGAGATTGAGAACGCGGAGGGTTCTTTTTGATCACTTGCAAAAGCTCAACACAGTCGTCAGTGCTATGGGTCTTGCTATTTGGATGGTATCTGCAGAACTTGGCTGCACCAGCCTCAGACAACGAGCCCACAGTAGGATCAACAGCAGGAGCAGTTGCAATAGCAGTGCTACCAGCGGTGGTAGCAGACGACACCACGCCCTCTTGAAGGCGCAGCATACCAAAACGATGTAAAGTACTAGTAGGAGCATCACCAGTACGCACAGCCGTGTTGCACTCATGGGGACCAGCAGAGTAATTGTGGGCACCACAAGTACGGCATCGATCTGATGCCTTGGCATCCGCAAGCGACATCATGTAACGACGACCCGATGCTTGGTTGCTGGTTGGCATTGAGTTGGCACCACCTTTGTTTTTCAACTCTTCCAAGAAGAGCTTACATTCCGAGGTGTCATGGTTGTGAGGCTTTCCATGGTGGAAAGTGCACGACTTGGTAGCCTTGAAGTGAGGCTTGCCCACGCGGCCAGAAGAGACACCAGCACGAGACACAGCGGCAGGACCATCAGTAGATGAGGATGATGCCTTCATGGTATGTGAGCGGCGGGGGGACGCAACTGGAGCCCATTGTGATGCAGCAGATCCAGCAGCAGTGCGAGCAAAAGCGGGTGCTGAGATGGCAGCAATCTCATTTGCGGTCATAGTTGATAGTGATTCACGAGCGATACTGACGATAATGTCAACATCGTAACTATCAATGATGCCCTTGGATTGACGGATGGTGTTGATCTTATCCTTGACTACCCAAGGAATGGCATCCAGGAACAACTTAGCCAACAAGTAATCGGATGGGGCTTGATCCAGGGATCGACGACGCAAGTCAGTAAAACGATCAAGAAAGGCCTTCACGTTTTCACCGGGCAAAAGTTGAATGCTCAACAAATCAGACGCACAACGTTGACGTTCTTCCAATACGCTAATGCCATAACGAGCCTTGATAGCCGACTTGAAATCATTCCACGATGCAGGAGCAGTGCAAGCAGAAGTGAACGAGCCGTACCAAGTACGTTGTTCTGGAGACAGCATAGGTGGTACTAAGCGAGCATATTCCTTGTCGAAATCCATCTTGTAAGCGAACATGACATCCTCAAACTTCAACAGACAAGCGTCGACTGTAGGAAATATAGGGCTTTTGGGGTCGAATTCATCCATACCAACCCACTGAAATGCAGGTAAGTTGTTGGGAAAGAAAACCGGAACAGAGGCGCTCTTGTTGGATTTGACTCCATCGACTGAGGATGGGCCAAACGAAGCAGCAGCCGAAGAAACGAGGTTATCATTTGCAGTAGCTTTGGATGCAAGCAAACAATCTCGAATCTGTATGATACTTTGAATGGACGTATTCAACTGGATCAACCGAGCTAGGGCCTGGGCTCTGGCCTCCTCACTTTGCTCGAGGAGCAAGGTCGTAGAGAGAAGCTGAACTTCGGCGAGCTGATTGTCAACAATTAGCTTCAACTGATCAGTGCGACCTTGAAGGTCCACATCACTAGAAGATGAACTAGCAGAGGAAGGGGGATCGAGGTCCATCGCATCACTAGCAGTAGTAGTGGGAGCTTCGCCAGCTTGACCACCCAATTTCTGAGACGTTTCAGCGAGAAAAAACTGAGAAGGGCCAGTAATATCTACAGCCTTGGTGGCACTGGCGTCTGAAGGACGCAGCTCAGTGTTTCCAGCAGGCTTAGATTCGGAACTGGGGGATGTGGTGGTACTTTGAGCAGACATCAGAGTATACAAAATTGAGAGGTAGTAGTAGTAAGAGTAGTAGTAATGATACAATCAAGGTTTTGATTAAAAAAAATGATGAATTCGTAATAATAAGTCGATGATAATAATCAGTTGTCAACTGTATCTAAAACGAAAGCAAAGAGCTTCTTTATTACAGGGCATCTAGCTTGCTTAAATATGGTAGATCCCTGGTCAATGACTACTACGTTGAGATGGTATATAAATAGCAGGCCACTGGGGCCTTATGGATTGTTGGTATAGCTTGTTGAGAGGCCACCTAAGTCGGTATGTTTCATGTAGTGTAGGTGGATCTCGATATTTTGACATTGGGGAGATTGAATGTATTGTAGTTCCTGAGGCACCTGTGCACACACAATTGACTGGACTTGTAAACATAGATGTGATGTGATACGATGAACATCATCTATGCTGCTACACTGTAAAAGGTGGCTTGAGGAGAAAGTGAATGTAGCCTAAGATGCATGCTTGTATGCAACATACCATATACATAAATAATCGAACTACAGGGGAGGCGTCCTTATTGAGTGTTAGGAAGGTCTGACAACTGGCACACGAAACTCTATTTAGAAAATCAGCGGACAATCAGACTACATATCTCTGCAATGAATATTGGTATGCATTTTATTCCGGGCGCTATTTTTTTGAGGAAAGAAAACGCCATAATACAATAGTCGAGTGATGTGATAACATTGCCCTTATATGGAAGCAGATTATAGAGTACTTTATAGTATTTATATGCCAAACCGTGCTTTATCATGCCAAAGTTATCGCTCATCTATTAACAGTGCGGTATTTGAAGAGTTTTAAAAACCTGCTCATGTTGGAGTGTTCCATATTCTTTGTCCTTTTCTGTTTTACTACATTCATTCATCCAATGTCGACATTGCACTTGTTACTGGATCAATTCAAAGGTAGCTGTTTGTATGAAAACTTGGCTCTGGCAACTAATCCATGGCTATTCATAGCTAATCCAATCAACTGGGCATTAGCAGCAGTAATTATAATGAAAGCGAAGGACCACAATGCAGAATTTGAAAACGACTCACTTCATTTTAACATGCTAGATCCTGACCTACATACTGCGACATTTTACAATCTCAAACAAACCACCACAGGTTCCAGCCAAGCATCCAGAAGTACTCATATTTAAAAACTATACGCCTGTCGATCTGTTACCTTACAATGGAGAAAATGATTCTCGCATCTTGATGGGCGTCAATGGCTCAGTCTATGATGTTACCCAAGGCCGAAATTTTTATGGACCTGGTTAGTTTTTTTTTTTTTTTTCATCTTCAATGTAATAGCACAATGGATGCTCATATCAATCATACATCTGCAGGAAGTCCTTATGCCAACTTTGCTGGACACGACGCGTCACGAGGGTTAGCCAAAAACTCATTTGATGAAGACATGATGGTGGATCCACATGGACCTATAGATAAACTTGAAGATTTAGAGGCGGATGATTGGCAATCTCTGAGAGAATGGGTAAATAAAGAAGACACAATAATGGGATGGACAGTAGACTGATCTCGTACAACAATTAGGAGAATCTTTTTGCGAGCAAATATCTGTTGGTTGGTAAATTAGTTGAAAATCATAGTAAATAAAAAAAGATTGTTTTATTCTATGTATAATGCTGTATATGATTAAATGGACCCTTCTTTTACTTGTATCTTAAACCAATCCACAGTTTCCTGTAAACCTTGTTTCACGGAAAATCCAGGTTCCCAACCCAAATACTTTTTAGCTCTGGTAATATCCGGCTTGCGCTTTTTGGGATCGTCCAATGCAGCTGGCAAGATCTTGATATCGACATTCTCGGGCGACAAGGGAGGAATCAAGACCATTTCTCTAATCATGTCTGCAAAGTTCTTGATGGTATATTCTTCAGGATTACCCAGATTGACAGGCTCGCTGTAGTTTTTGTTCATGAGTAAAATAAGCCCGTCAACTAAATCATGCACATATTGAAACGATCTTGTTTGTGCTCCGTCTCCATACAACGTCAAAGATTCGCCCTTGATGGCTTGCATGATAAAGTTACTCACAACACGACCGTCGGCAGGTGACATGCGAGGGCCTAGAAATCAGCGGGTTAATATCGACTATTTGCAAATGTGTGTAGTTGAATGTGATATTCTCTATTACCAAATGTACTATAAATACATGAGATTTTTCAATTAATAGGGTTAAAAATAACTTGTCTGTGATAGTCTTACTTGAAGATACGAGCAACACGAACATCCACATCGTTTTGTCTCATGTAGGCATACGTTAATGTCTCTGCAATACGTTTACCTTCATCGTAGCAGGCTCTAGGGCCAATTGGGTTCACATGACCCCAATAGGTCTCTTTCTGAGGATGCTCTTCAGGGTCGCCGTACACCTCTAATCCAGCAGCATCAATACCAACATGAACCTGATACCAACGAGATGAAACACTTGCCTGATGTAGATGTCAACAAGAAACGAGCCTTTGTACGCTTTGCAAGACCAAGCATGTTGATGGTGCCCATAACACTTGTCTTTACTGTCTTTGTTGGATTGTACTGATAGTGAGGAGGCGATGCAGGACACGCCAAATGATAGATTTGAGACACTTCAATCATAAATGGATCGACAACATCATGACGCACTAATTCAAAATGAGGATGGCCAATCCAATGCTGCACATTGCGTTTTGAACCTGTAAAGAAATTGTCCAATACAATGACTTCATGGCCCATATACATCAAACGATCGACAAGATGGGAGCCTACAAAGCCAGCGCCGCCAGTAACCAGAATGCGTTTGCGCTCAGAGGGTCTCAATTGCTTTACAGGTGGATACGATGTGATTGTCCTGTACACAACGAGACCTGCTGCTTCATCAATGTCTCGGTCATTCTGCTGCTTGGGGAGGTATAAGTCACGTAGATAGCTTAGCTGTGCATCTGAGCCAACATTGGCATGGCCAACAGAAGTGACATAGTCTTTGGTGGGTGCTGTGGCAGCAGTATCAGTGGTGCTCGATGCCATTAGGTTGATTTTAGTAGAAAAAAGTGTAAGAAACGGAAAGAAAAAGGGAAGAAATACACAAAAAAAAAAACGTAGGAGAAGAAACACAGATTTTATGTCATGAGGAGAGTGGGAGGAGAGTTTTATTTCATTAACAGCATCCACCTGAGGAATTGTTACCATTGTTTTTTGCAGGCGATTCAAGCTTAACTTCCTCTCTTTGGCGTGTTTGCTGAGCCTGTTGTGTGTCGATTAATCTCTTTTTGATGTCTCTGTGTAGAATAGGGGGTGTTTAGTGGGGCCACATCTTGCAGATAGAAACAGACAATGCTTACCTGGCCAAGTCGAAAAAGGCTTCCTCGACTCCAATGTTAGCCTTGGCACTTGTTTCCATAAATCGAATATTTAGTTCGTTTGCTAATGTTTGGCCCTGTTCGGCAGAAACAACCTTTAGAGAGAAAGAGACATAAGAATCTGATGCTATCACTGAATGGCACACAAAAGAAAAAACCCACCCTTTTATCTTCCATGTCGCACTTGTTACCAATAAGTATCTTGTTGACTCCCTCACTAGCATGCTGCTCGATATTTGAAAACCAGTTTCTTACGTCTGTATTATGTATATGCTTCTTTTAGTATCAGGCTCTTCTGTGTCCCATCGCATTTCACTTACTTCCAAAGGATTTATCATCTGTAACATCATAGACCAACAAGATACCCATAGCACCACGGTAGTAAGCTATCATGTTTCCTATTAGTATACATAGCTCTCACATAACGCCCTGCAAAATAACTCACCCGTGGTAATAGTACGGAATCTTTCTTGTCCAGCAGTATCCCAAATTTGGAGCTTTATTCTCTTTCCATCCAGCTCAATAGTACGAATCTTAAAGTCAATACCGATAGTAGTGATGAAAGATGGTGTAAAGGAATCGTCAGAGAAACGAAGCAAAAGGCAGCTTTTACCAACTCCAGAGTCGCCGATCAGCAAGAGTTTTATGAGGTAATCGTAAGAAGCACTTTTTGCAGTTGCCATAGTGAATAATAAAGAGAAGAAGAAGAAGAAGAAGAAAATTATTTACTCAACAACTTGAAATAAAAAAGGGGGGACACACATACACACACACGCACAACATCAACAAATTGGAGCTTGAATGTACGCACACAACATGCGATTGGTTTAACGTATATTCGAGTGTATATTTTTTCTGGTGCTTGCAGGAATTGTTGAGCAAGAGTAGAGGGAAGCGGGGGGGGGGGCTTCTTCATCCAGCATCGTGTAGGGTGGGCCTGGCGGTAGACATCTTATTGGCAGAGCAAAGCAGAGATTCAGATGCTCAATCAAGAAAAAGACAGGTTCATTTATTACAGTTTACGCTACTGAATGTTGCTGCCAAATGTCTGATTCCACTTGAGCAGCTCATTGATATCTTTCTCCCAGCCAGCACCATCACTGATATGTGTTACGCAGGGAATGGGGTATTTTGACATCCTCACCTAATATACATGATAAGCACAGCGATTCTTATGGAATATTCAACTCAATACCTTGACATATTCGCCTTTATGCAACATGAAAATCTCCTGGCCATCAATAGACACTTCCGTTTGACTACGGCTCTTGTCACCAATCTAATGATACATACACATCTTAGCATCTTGTGCCGAAAAGTATCCATACAGCAAGCCTACCTTTAACTCTATGTTTGAGCTTGGCGGTAGTAACACAGTTCTGAATGATAATGAACGAGGACAAATGGGTGTTAAAACCAAGCTTTGAACACTGGGATGGACGATTGGACCGCCAGCGGACAATGAGTAGGCTGTGGATCCAGTGGGTGTAGACACAATCAAACCATCTGCTACACATTCCGTCAAATACTGCTCATCCACAAAGCAATCAATGGTCGTCAGATGAGGGAATCGGCCACGGTGCAATGTCACCTCATTCATCACCTGTCTGTCATCCACCTCTACGCCGTCTACCTCGATTCTCTTTCCATTGGGTTGATGCAACGAACAGAACAATCTCATTCTCATCATAAGCCCCACCTTGCCAGCAATCATGTCATCTAATACATGTCGAAATTTTTCAAACCCTAGGAGCAATAAAAAGGTATGAGCATCTTCCCAATGGCTAATCCTCTGATTAGGCTACTTACTATAGGACATCAAAAAGCAAAGTGTGCCGAGAGAGAAGCTCACCACTGGAGGCGCTGCCTTGGGAAACAAGGACGATAAATGAAGCATGGTGCCATCTCCACCCAAAGTAACTGCGAAATCCACTGTGCGAGTATAGTCTTCTTTGTGGCTCTTTTCAATGACATGCACAAAGGGAAGCTCCTTTTGAAACTGCTCTGCTACTTCTGGCTCTACAATGATGTTCATGTCTGGTTGTGATTGATGGAGCCAGCTTTTTTTTCAATCGATTGAGTCAGAATGATCTCTTTCAACTGGAGATCCTGGTCTTACTTTGCTACTTCCACAAACGCCTTTTCCGTTTTGATATCATTTGGCTTCTTGACAATCAATACATTATTGGGTTTCTGGGTCCACTTGAGAGCGTACTGTCCTCTGTATCCAAACGTCAATGAGCCTACAGATCACATTTTTACGGATGACATCTCATCATTACCCATATGTACTTCCAGGAACTTGAATGATATCTCCAGGTCGACGAGATTCAATCAAATCACTGTCTTTATCGGTTGAAACTAGAGAGTAGCTTGGAAGGTTAGACTTGTAGTAGTGGTAATCTATCAACATGTGTGTACCTTGCTCTTTTGTCAGACATAATCCAACTTTATCAGGCAACGTCGATGTCTTTCTCAGCAAGCCCGTATTATACAATCGTCTATAAGCACATACTGGCTGAAAAGCCCTCGCATTGAAGGCAAGGCGACTATTCAGTTGGAACATACGCATAATTAGGAAAAAGAGAGATGTCAAGCGTAAAAAAAAAAAAAAAAAAAAAAAAAAAAAAAGATGTTTATTCAAATAATGCAAAACATTTGGGCAGCGGCACCAGTTAGATTGCCTGTGACTCAAAGCACGTCAAACATGTAAATTCATCTCTTGGACGAATGCTGATCATCATCCCATTTATTCCTTCGCTTTTCAGGTACGACAACATTATCTTGAGAAGGCGGCTTCGCTATTCGACTCGCTACTTTGGCAGCAGTCGCCATTGCCTGTGCCATGGCTGCTGATTGCTGTTGTGTTGGTTGCTGTTGCTGTGGGACAAAATGGACAGAGGTTCTGTTTTGTTGCTGTGCTGCCTTTTCCTCTGCAAGTTTTCGCTGTGTCTCTAGAATGCCATCAATATACATCTCTGCCGGAAATCCATGGGGATCGAATTCTTGTTTCTCAAAGTTGCTGCCTATTTCATCTACTTCAGTGAATTCTACGAGTTTTGTATAGATACGAGGGTTGCGAAATGCCTTGTTGTGCTGTAAATGGTCGTTTAATCGATGTCCAGAGGCTCTCAGTGATAAGAAATGCGTTATACGTTCCTATTTGAATAACTGCATGAATAACACGACACTCATCACAAGCGAGATACTCGACATCTTACCTGTCTTTCAGCATCGCATGCTGTGTTTGGCTCATTAGGGATTCCCCAATTCTCTACGCCTGCAATTGGTTTAGCAGCCAAAGCAGCCATCAATCGTTTGTTGTGCTCCAACATGGTTGCCGTTGACGCCGATGGTGGTGCTGGCACTTTACTCGGCAATGCTGATTTCACTGGCTGTAGCATAGGGGCTATCGCTTCTGGCTTCTTTGGTTGCGGCTCTGCCTTTGTCTTTTTTATATTCTAATCAAGAGAATCGATAGTTAATACAAAACTTATAAGCAAAGCGTGTTTTGAGGTAGCTTATTACTTGGAGAATGTCAACTAATACAAGGTGTCAATGCGTCTTTATTCTTTAATAATAATGCATAAATGATTTCTTTATTTACCTGGCGCCTCGTCGCCAGAAGAAGATCCTTCATCGTCTGAATAATTCACAAGACCAGCAAGTAAACTCATGTTGTAGTAGCTGTAAAAAAAAAAAAAGAGAATGGCATTTTCATTTAAACCAAAAATTTTGACTCTTGTACAGCTGAGACTCATTTGATTTCAAGCATGAGCCAGTATAGTCTTCTTCAATGATTCTTCAACCTCAAAAATAGCTTACTAGTATACGTCTTCACTTGTAGGTATTTTATTGAGTCTATGGAATTATAGCTGAAGACGGCGGGCTTGTGCTTGATCTCTTGCGATTTTTGATTATTGAAGCACTTTCCTTAAGGTTTTCTAAGCTTGATTTTCTGCAAGTGTCATTACTGAGCGGTGGTCTTTGTTGCTGCTGTTGCTGTTGCGATAGATCATCTAATCTCTTATGCAATAGTTCGTTGTGTATTTCAATACCAAGTGATTCATAGCTTGATTTCCGTGACATGCCATCATCGTTACTCGCCGTTGCCATTATATGGTATGGACTATCGCTATGTCTTCTAGGGTTGCTTGGCTTCTTTGGTAGTTCACTTAATTTTCGCATGATGGACAGCTTGGGTTCTTCTGTAATGGGAGTTGGCATGGACGGCACTGTGGCGTCTGTGGCATTATCGCTTGATCTCTGTAAGATGTCTAGTGTTTCTTTTGATAAGCCGGAGGATTGATCAATGGATTCCCTTCGCTTTCTTTCTTCTTGCTGTGCAGCCATGACAGGTGATAATGTGCTAAACGTCCCTCTGGACAGTGCCATGAATACAAACAATGTAATCATGATGACAAGTTGAGACACAGACACCCTTCTTTCAAAGGATAACTACATTATAGGTATGAGCCTATAGACATACAAAGACAGTGTCAAAGTAGGACCTACCTGATCTGCTAAAATACTAATCTTTGCCGTCATTTCTCTCATATCGCTCTCGGTTTGATCCTTTAAATCTTCGTACCATTGCTCGTAGCGACGTTTCTATACACATGTGTAAGCCTCATTTACTCGTCAACGTTCAGTACATATCTTACCATGCTATCAATTTTATAACTGGCAGTTTCATTCAAGTGTCCAATCAGCAATATCAGTTGATCTTGGTGTCGTTTCTCCATGTCCATAAACACATCGTTGAGAATCTTGTTTTGCTCATCCAGAAAGCGTTGTGATAGTGTCATATTCACTTCGAGTACATTCAATCGCTTCATGATGGTTTTGTAAATGGATTCTTGCGTACTGCCTTCCTTTTGATGCGCAATGGGAGGGATTGGCTTGGGTTGCTGTGGCGCAGGCAGAGGGCTCTGGGGCAATACAATCGTCGTAGATGATGTGGTTGACACTGTCAAATCTACATGATGTTGTGCAGTGTTGCTGTCGGCCTCTGCGTTATCGGCAGTAGATGCTTCATTGCTGGTTTGACCGCTTGCAATGTCAGTACTGCTGTCAGTATTCTCGCTGCTCATATTATCAATATCGCTCTTGACAGCATTGCTAGCTGCAATAACACTGTTGCTGCTTGTGCTGCTTGGGTTCTTGATACTCGACGATGAAGCTCCTTTATCAGATGCAACTTTGGTCTTCTTTTTACTTGACGATGAGGGCGAGGAAGATGATAGCGGAACCGTGTCTGATCTAGTCGTATTACTTGCGTCTATCAATGTGTCGCTGGGTGTGATAGGCACGCTGTTTTCCGTCTGTGAAATGACTTGAGTAATGGTAATCTCAGCAATCCCTGTCTCTTCCTCTGCAGTTTTATCTGCCATATCATTTTCTGTTGGTTCCTTCACAATGGTTTTGGCAGCCTTCACTTCTAATGCTGTGTCTGTTTGAGTCGGCACCGTATTTTCAGGCTCAAATGATGTGAGCGTCTCTATTGCAGTGTTGATAGGCGGAATGATTAGCTTCACATCATCTTCATCCAAGTCCATCTTGACAGGAAAGGATTCAGCAGTGTCGTTTACATCAAATTGAGGTTGAATAATCTGTTCACGGACTTCTGCAGGCCATAAATGCTCTTCCTCCAGCACAGGATACTGATCTTTACTCTCGACCGTGTTGTAGAATTCCAGCATCGGCATACCATGCACTCTCACCAGACTCAGGGGACAGTAATACTCATGGCCATAATGAGTAAGAAATTCAATTTTCATGTACTCCAAGAATCCGCTGTATGGCACCTTGAATACTTGCAGATCTCTCGTGTTTCTCGCCTGCCATTGACCCAGAAGTCGCCAGTCTTTGGTGGGGTACTTGGATGAAGCGTACACTCGAAAATCCTTGAAGGTGCTGGAAAAGAACTCAAAGTTTGCCATGACAATGGTATCCACTACAATCTCCTCGCACAAGTTGATGATCACGAATTTATCAGCAGAGCATTTGTTTAGCAAATACTGATCCTTTGACTCGTACAAGATAGACTGTGCGCCTTTTGCTTGTTTGTTGACCTTTCTTACTGTCGCTGCACAATCGGTTGACGCGTAGTTGAACCTCTCCTTTAACGACTTCATACGGACATCGGCAAATTGCTGCTTCTTTTTGTTCTTGCTGTCTGGGCCAGACTGGCTGGGTGCAATGTATTCTCCCTCAGCATAGACATTGGGCTTCTTCTTGTCCTTGCCTCCAACACCTCCTAGCAGATCTTCAAACATGGATCCAAAATCATCTGCAAATCCTCCATCAATGCTGTCCACCATCTGCTGCTTCTTGTTGGGCAATCCATCTCCTTCATCTTCTACCGTCTTTCGTTTGTGTCGACGTTCCTTGTCGTTTTCAATTTGAGCAATCTTCTTTTGCCATTCTTCAAATGATACCAGTGGTTTTCGCTTTTCGTTGTTTGACGCTGCGTCTTGTTGTTGTTTTGTATCATTGATGGTGGTATGGGGCCTGCTGTCTTGCGTATCATGCGTTTGCCATGTGTCATCGTTGTTTGTCTTTTTTGATGGGAGTGAATTCGTTGCTTTGGCAGGCTCCTCTAAGCCATTGTCTGGTTCTTTGTGTACTGGCTCATTGTAGACTGGCTTCTCTATAATGTTTGGTTTGCTCAAGTCTGATATCACGGCGGCATCAGGAAAGAGAGCAGCAGAGAAATCGACTGTACCTTGGGAATAAGCTGGACAGGTCTCTGCGAAGATGTCATTGTCACGATAGCGTAAACATTGCTTTGCTTTATAACTCGGTTTTGCTGTGAGCACCAGCGGTAAAAGAATAAACAAGTAGAATGGCCAATGTTGTGAATAATGCATATATTGTAAAAGGAAAAAGAAGAGCAAATAGTCTTGATCAACGTTTTGAATGAAATACCACAATCACCACCACTCAAATCGAATTGAAACTCCATTCTCATCATCTGCCATTGTGAAATGTTCCAGAAAACCCTGCCCATTCCATGAGCAAATGTTCAGTGCGTCTCTATGGATCAACCATGTACGTTGTAAGCATCAATTCATATTTGAGAGTAAGATCAAAGCATGGTTGCCACTGCTGGACCCAAAAGAACTATTCGTAAATTGTCGACGCATGATTTACAAGCCAACACTGCGAGTAGCTTCTTGGGCTTATCTATAAACACGGCTTTTGGTACCATCTGTCAAGGGCTATATCGCAAATTATCGGTTGTAAAAAGAGGCATTTGCTTCCATCATTGGAAAGTGCGTACATTTGACTCTACGGTAAATGCCGTAAATACTTTTCGAGCATCTTCCTCAGAAGGAAATGCAATGCTCGCATTGCGCTGCTCCGTAACAGCACGTAGCTGCGGCATGTACAATGCTACTTTTGGTTGTTGACTGAGACAGGATGGCTATCTGAGGACTGGACAAAAAAGTAAAAAATGGCTAAAAGCGGAAGCCAAGACGAAGCGTCGTCTTCTCTGTTGAGAGAAAAGTAAAGAGATCAAGCAGTAGTGAGCTGTCAAAATGAAATAGCCCGCTGAAACGAAAAGGCCAGCAGCAAATAGAGCCAAAAGATCGACAGACTCGAGTTGCGGATTTTCGGTTCTTGGCTCTTGAGGTCTTGCCAAATGCCAAGGGACCAAGATCTCAAGTTACACGGATCCACTCTCCCACCTGTGTATAAAAAGAGCCGGTTCTCATCTTCTCAGCATTCTCAATCACACAAAACACACATATACATATAAAAAAAAAACATGCAACCACTATCCAATCCTCCTGCTACCATTGTCGTGCTTGATGAAAAGCAGCCCTTGCTTCCATTGAATAGTCAACCTATCATTATTGACACAAGATCGTCAAGAGCGAAATGCTGGATCAAGGAGCATATCCCCCGTGCTTTTGTGTACGGCCTGTTCTTTTACATTATGTTTAATGCCATGAATGCACCTTTCATGCAAAGAAAGTCAAATGAGAAAGACATTGCCATTAATGACTCTTTCCAGCTGGAATCCATGCAAGATGTGGTCACTTACAATGACAATGTGGTATGTACATGTAGCATCTATTGACTAGGCACAGCTCATCTCATGCTTTTGCTTCCAACTCTAGTTTGCTTCAGGCTTGGTCATTACTTGCAATGATGCCAATAAGCCCACCATCCCTTATGAAGGCTTGTCCGAATTTGAATTTGATCAGGAAACTTTCCCTCGCCTCACCATTGATCAAAAGACAAACACCCGCAGACACAGTTCTCTCCAAATCTCTGTAAGCTGAATAATCGCATCTCATCCTCACATGCATAGGCTCACACTCTATCTTTAGAAAGGAGATACGGTTGTCTCTGTCGATGGAAGCTTATCCAATGCAGTTGTCAAGTTTGATTTGAAGTTTGATCATGAGGAAATGCAAGATGTCTTTTGGATTGAACAGACCGAAGATGAAGAGCAAGGCGTGTATTCATTGATCATTCGTGTAAATATACATTTGATTTGACAGGCAGAGACAGTATCCTAATAGTCTTACAAAATAGGCTGATGAAGATTACAGACAAGATGGTTGTGTCTCTATAGATATCAGTGTCCGTGTACCTGATGTTGCTGCCTTGTCTACCTTAGCTATCAGTTTGGCCAACAACGGCTTGTCTCTTGGAAAGAATCTGACATTTGAACACCTTGCCATCTCTATTGCCAACGGTTATATTGAATTTGAAGATGTAAGTAATCTGTTGTTCACCCGCTGGCACAAGCATACTGATGAACATATAGGGTATCTCATCTGGTATTACTGCATTTGCTGTTGCCAATGGACATGTATCTGGAAAGATCGATACCTTAAGTAATGACCTTACTTCATCTGTTGCAAATGGGCATAACGATATTTCCATCAAGCAAGTCGAGCAATACAATCAAGAGAATATTGATGTCAAGGTTGTCGTTGCCAATGGCCATAATACAGTAGAAGTGGTAAGTACTCATGCTATGGATGGCAGCTCATGGATTTACTCATGCTCATTGTATAATAGCCTATTGCCTTCAACAGTCAGTTTAAATTGGAATCATTCGTTGGAAGACGCATTGTTCAATCAAGTCATCCTCAAGGCATTCACCGTCGTTCTGGCAGCTGGGGTGTTACTTCTGGCTACTATGGCGATGATAAAGACACTCAGAACACAGTAACATTGAAGGCCTCCAGCGGTAACCTCAAGTTGAACTATGCTTAAATCAGAGCCATTTATTAAAGCTAAAATAAACTATTGATTTCTTCCAATGTCTTTCCCTGTATACGCCACAATGTAAGCTTATAGAATGAGTGTATACATATTTGGTGCATCTTACCTTGGTTTCTGGTAGGAACCCATAACAAAAGACACTTGCTGCAATGCACCAGCTGCCAAAGAATATGTATGTTCCAATCGTATTGGTTGCCAACATGATAGGGCTTACTTTTCCAATGGCAGCGTTAAAAATCCAGTTTACTGCTGTTGTAAGCGAAGTGCTTTTTGCTCTTGTACTATTGACATCATGTCAGAAGATTCGATGCTGAAGCATCAAGTGACTCATGTGCATACCTCATTGGGTAAATCTCTGAGCAATATAGCCATGGACATGGTCCCCAGGATAAAGCAAAGAATACAGCATAAGCTATTCAAAAAGTGTGTCATTGATCTTCATTAATTCAACATAGACGTGCAACTTACAATACATGAACACAATTCCCTGATTGATTCATATACAGTAGTGTTAGAAAAGCAGAATTTTTTGAGCAGTGAGTGGACTTACCAAAGCAGCAGTTGCAGATATGGACGGTGCATCTAGGCTCTGTGGTGCCTTGTTGATAGGATTCAAAGCGACACACACAGAAACAGCATACATGCACATTCCCATTGCCACACCACCGCTAATGAGTAGTGGCCGTCTTCCGAAACGATCAATCAATGAAGAAAAGCCGATCAGTACAACAATCATCTTTAGTATACCATAAACACCTGTAGCAAGCAATTCTGCTTCGTTTGATGAAAGCCCTATCGACTTGAATATAATGGGGCTAAAGTAATTGATCACATTAGTCCCCGTCATTTGCTGAAGTGCCTGCAATGCGCATCCCAAGAGCAAACGCTTTCTGTTTGCGACGGATAGGGCCTGCTTCCATGATGTATCTTTTGCTTGAAGACTGAGAGAGTTTTGTATCCGCTGCATCTCCTCCTTGACATCCTCAGAGCCACGAATTTTGCATAGCACTTGCAAAGCTTCTTCCGATTTATTGTGAGCGCAAAGCCAGCGAGGTGTCTCGAATAGCCATGCCATGCCAAACAGAAGCATGACGGAGGGGATGACCTGGATGATCAAAGGAATTCGCCACAGCATATTGTCGTGTTGGTCAATCAGTACCCTCACAATGTAGTTTGACCAATATGAAGAAGCGAGACCTGTAGCAATAAAGAACATCCACAAGCCCCCTAATAGCCCTCTGTGCCTTTGGTGTGCAATTTCTGCCACATAAATCTACTGCAAAAGTCAGTGGTCAGATCTTTGTCCACCCAAGACAGTATTTACAGGGACGAGCATACTCAAAGCACCTACGCCTAAAACCCAATTAGCAGATTGTTTCTGTGCGAATGAATATACAGTATTTGTACCTAATCCAGAGATGGCCCTTCCCAGGTACAATATCATCAGATTATAACCTATGATTTGAAATACGCCTCCAATAAAAAACACAAGTGCAGCTGTCATGATGCTGTATTTTCGACCCAGAGTATCTATTATGTTTCAAGATTGAGTGTCCAACCGAGAGATTTTACTGCTCTTTGCTACCTGCAGTACTGGTTGCTAATAGACTTCCAAACAAGCATCCAACCTGTAATACAGACACAATGTTTCCATTGATTTCAGCTTCCTGTATCTTATTGTTGGGATCAATGTGGAAATACGTTTGAAAGGATGGCGCAATCAGCATACCGCCTACAACTCCCAAATCGTAGCCTACGTGTGCTGTTTAGCTGCATTTCCAATCACAGCAATTAATATAGACACTATACCAAATAAAAACCCTCCCATACAGGCAATGCATGTTGCAAGGACTGACCACAGTGTCATGTTTGTGTCGTTTTTGAGATGTGCTGAATCCATTAACAACGGCTCTTCTTCTGGCTGTGGCTCTTGAGAGTAAATAGAAGAAGAAGAAGAAGAAGAAACTGTTGTATTGAGGAATGTGCCTCTTTTTGTTAATCCATCCATATTTCAAACAATACAGTGGGGTATACGAGGGAGACAGTAAGAAAGACGCATTTTAATGATAAAAAGCAACCAAATGAGTTTATATTTTTATTCAAGCAGATTATCATGAGCGTGTAACATGAACCACTCGAAAGGGGGGGGGGTATAATGCGTATATGTACAGTTGAATATTCCTTTAGAGAATATTCTTCAAACCTTCAGTTTGTTCGGGTGTCAATGATTCAGGGAACTCTACTTGGAAACGTACAATCAAATCACCCTTCTCGCCAGTCTCTTCGTTGGGCATGCCTTCGCCTATAAGGATCTCTTCCTGTCCATTTTGAATAATGCGGTTCTGTGTCTCTACAGTGGTTACGGTTTGGCCATCCAAGCGCGGGATCGATTTCTTGAATCCAGTGAGAGCCTCCTTCAAGGTGAGCTTGACAGTTGTTTGCAGGTTGTCGCCATGTCGAATGAATGAAGCATGAGGCTTTTCCTCAATCTCAAAGACAAGGTCCTGCATCTTTCCTGATGGCAGTGCATCGCCTTCTGAAGGAAAGGAGATCTTGCTGCCTGTCTTCATGCCAGGCTTAACATTGACAGTGAGTATTTTGTCTGTCGTTTCGTTGGAGAGACTGCGGGTTACTTTGAGCTTCTTGGTGGTACCAGTATACAAATCCTCTAATGACACCGGCAGAGATCGCTTGACAAATCGAGGCTTTTCTTGGAATTGATGGTTGCGAGAGAATTCATCAAACCCGAATGATGAAGGTGGGGGGTAGTAAGTTGAGGGCTGTCGTCTGGCTGATTTAAACTTCTTTCTGCTGGATGTACTATATGGAGGAGATGCAGGTTTGGGCATGTAGCTGCGAAACAGATCAGTAAAGTCTTCATCTTCGCTGCTTGATTGAGACATGGCAGAGGAAGAGGAAAAGAAGTGAGAAAAGAGGTCTTCTGGATTACCGGATGTACCATTGGTAGAGAAATAGGCAGTGGAACCAGAGCCGGAGAAGAAATGAGCAAAAGTGTCTTCTGCATTCACAGATGTACCAAACGATCGCTTGCCGCCAGCCGTCTCTCTGTCGTATTGTCGACGTTTATTTTTATCACCAAGCACTTCAAATGCTTCACCAATTTGCTGGAATTGCTGTTTGGCAGACTTGTCCTTGTTGCGGTCAGGGTGACATTTGAGAGCTTTTCAATTCAGGAAGGTTAGTATATGCCCAATGCAATGCTAAACATTATAAATTGATCTCACCTTTTTTGCGATAGGCAGTCTTGATTTCTGCTTCGGAAGCATTCTTGGGGACACCGAGAATCTCATAGTAATCGTTTCCTTCCATGTCAACAAGCTAATCTATATAGAAAAAGATACACAGAGGAAGAAAAAAAGTTTGATCTTCATCATGAGCTTTCTTTTATAGGGGATCGGGATAGACTGTTCTCTTTTTCTCCATCATTCTGGCATATTCTACCATTTTAGAATCCCGGACGAATTGGTGCTGGTCAATTAGCTCCAAACCTCAAGGCGAATTCATGCCAATCTACTAGCCAAGGCATTGTTCTCCTAGTAAACTGCCCAGTTACTTGATTGAAAGGCAATTAGACTTTAAATTGACAGGTACTGCAGCCATTGTTGATAGAGTGTGATATCAACCAAACTACATGGCGTTTGTAAGCTATTTTTTTTTTCTAGAACACTGAATCAACGGAATGCAAATTCAAGCGGGATGCTATGGTGACACTCCATCGTTCAAAACTCTATTTTGATTGATCTGTTGCACTTGGTGACATTCAATGCATTCTATTCATGTACTTCATGAGCATTGCATGGAGGCGTACAATCATTACTAGCACAATAAGCTCAAAGACTCAATGTCAAATAACTATCAACATCACTAAATTCGGCATTTTCACAATACAACACAATAAAAATATCCCCACTGATTTGAAAATAAAAAAAAAGGTACAGTACAACATTTATTCGTCTACTCGAAAACACGCTTATCGCTGGCCTCTGTTTCTCTGCTTTCTTCAGCCATCTTGATTCTAGCTTCACGCTCGCTTTGGTTCTTTTGTCTATGGCTGTATTTTTGAAGCTTGTCTTTGCGAAGAGCTGAACGAACAAAGTTGGGATGAACAAATTCAGGGTTCTCAAACACTGTTGGACCACCAAATGAACCTTCAAAGATACGGATAGGAGTGAGACAGAAGCGAGGGCCAATTTCAACTAGTGAGATATCTTCTTTATCCAAAGGATCAAAACCAGGTGTATTTGTAGCATTCTTTTCAACAATCTACCATACCCCAAGTCAATATGCAAATCCACATCCTCACGAGCAAAGCTTACCTGATAATTTCTAAACCAAACACGGTTATCGACAATAGAGAAAGACAAGACATGATCAATGAAGGGCTTGGAGCGTCTAGATCCCTTGGGCACATTGAAGACTTGACCCAACAATTCCTTCAAAAGACCCCAATGAGGAGCAGAATCAAATGTCTTGTCGAATGATAAAATGTGTCTGGAGCCCTTTAAGCAGTTACCGGTCATCTTCAATTCATCCATGGTGTGCAAATTTTGAAGATGGAATTTGACAGAGGGGCCGTTGGGAGTTTTGGCCATCCAAACATACAAATCCTGCTTCTTTCTAACTTCAAAAAAGACGGCGTTGTTACAGTTGTTGAGATCGGCCAGTTCGTTCAAGATGTAGAGGTTGTTCTTTGTGTCGAGCTTAGCGTCTTTTTTTGAGTGAGGTAATAAGGCTTCGAGATCGGTGAGCAAGTGGCGATAACTAAAGTGTTTTGTTAGTTTTCTTGAAATCTGTCAAATTCACAATGGCTTACCGGAAAGTGACACCACGAGAAGAGAGCATCATGACTCTTTGCTTGTTAATTCTTTTGTCTTTGGATTTACGGTCATTGGCCTTGGTCTTGACCAATTCAGCAGCTTTGTACAAAGTAGACATGAGGATTAAATGATATAAATGTGTGGTAGTAAAGCAAAATTGACATGAAAAAATCTATCCTCTTATTTTTTTTTACTCCCACCAGCAAAAAAAAAGCCACACATGGTAACTGTCCTAAGCAGTCCATGCAGCAGATCAAGTTTCCAATGCGAGGTTTATTATGTCAAATGTCAAGATCTATGGATGAGTGCTGGTTAACGTTCAGTGTGATGGCGTATGGTGAGAGGGTGGGGGGGATATTTAGGATGTGTGTGTGTGTGTGTGTGTGTTATAAATTAAATGTTGATATCTATTAAGTGTGTTCCTGTCATCATTCTGTCTCTTCCTTTCTCTTTCTACGCTCGTCTAAACTCCCTCGCGGACTTCCTCGAGGACTCGCCAATCGACTCGCGCTCTGTAGCCAGGCAGCAGCAGGATTATCGGATGGCAGTGGTCCATCACTGATGGCATAGTCTTCTTCATCGGATTGCTCGTGAATGACAAATCCAACTCTTGATCTTGATCTTGTCATATTGACTTCAGCAGCCAATGGTGATGGGGATCGATCAATGGCAGTTAAACCATTTACCATGCCATTCAAATTGGGCGAACTGCCTGTGCGCGCTGTTAGGTTGGAGGCACTGCTATTTCGATTGGCCAGACCCATGGCTGAAGATGTCCTGAACGGCAGCACGCTTGAGCCTTCAACAACATCGCCCATCTGAAATATGCCATTATGACTATCGCCGCTATACCGTTTCTTGTTCCAGTATTGCTTGGAAATGACGCTCGGTGTTTTGTTGGATACGCCCAGCACTCGGTCATTGCTTGGCATTGTGATGGATACATTACCGTCCGCTGCTCCATTCATCACACTGCCACTGCCATCGTCAAATGTGTCCATATCTACTGGAATGATGTTACTGACGCTTGTGTATTGCTGGTTGTTTCTACCAAGTAGCACTCTGGACGCCCAATGTCGCATGGATATAGTGGATCGAGAAATCGAGTTTGTAATTGAACTGAGATAGGTCATTGGGTTCACAAATCGCCATGCTGAGCCAGCGCCAGTGATGGCACTTTCCGCACCGAGGATACCACCATTGGCTCCCACATTGTTTCTGTTAATTTGTCTCTTTTGTACACATCGCATCAGAAGCCACAGAATAAATAGGATGGCGAATATAAAAGCTACAATATTCAGGGCTGTCGGCTTTGATCTGCTTCGGACGTCGTCTAAAAAGCTGGAATTTTCCTCATTGTGCGATCCAGAGGGATTGGGATTCTGCGATACACCATCCGCAATTTCATGCGCTCCTTCATCGTCAGTGCTGTGGCCCAGAAAGCCGTCTTGATGATCAATGAGCGGGATTTTGCTGGCGACATGAAGCAACATGGCACCTAATGTCCAAGATACCTGAATATCGTTGATGGTGTCAATACTTTGAAACGGTGGATTCCAGTTCTTTGCGTCGACACTCTCGATTGTCTGTTCCAATAGCTCTCGATCTTCAGTCAAGTTTTGATGTCCACTTGGGTTTTTGATCCTCGGAATTTCGATGCCTTCATGCAACACATTAACGATCCAGGCTGACTTGAAGCACTGCATCTGATAACGATGTAATTCAGCAGCACCCAGATCCTGGTTTTCTTCCAGCACATGAGACCAGTCTTTACCACAGTAATCCGTTGCCTTTTTCTCGTATTCAATAAAATCATAGACACCGCCTAAACCGAGGATGTCATGCGACGAGTACCAGTACTCGGAAATACCCACAAATTTGTTGACAGACCAGTCAATGTCTGGTGTATGCACGCCATTGAAGAGACATGGCTTTGTTGGGCAGTCAGCATCCTTGTTCAGAAGCGGCACCGTATATTCTATGCATTTATCGAAATCACCAGTGCCATGGAGGGATAGTGACACGCTTGTTGAGCTTGCATCTGTCAAATTTAGATTCAATGGGAGGCATGGATCGTCAAGCTGCAGCATACGGTGCTCATCCAATAGTTTCTTGCCGTTGGAAGCAGCAAATAGCTTCTTGACACGATCTTCGAGGTATCGTCTTCTTGCTTCGTTGCTTCCATAGCCCAGAAATGTAGTGACAAAGACATCGTAATCGACTGTTCTACCGTCCAGTGTGTGCAGTGTGATGCGCGTTAAATCGTGCATGTGCTCTTGTCTCTGATGGTGTTCTGGTTCAAATGCAATCTGGGCAGACGCACCGCCCATATCCAAAAATCCAAACGTATGGTGTTGCTCCACTTGGTCATCCGGACTCTTCTTTTCTGTGTACGCCTTGATACTGTTGTCAAATCCACCCATCAAATAGTTGACTGCAACCCAACCATACACGCCTTCTAATTCTCCAGGAATAATTCGAACATGGCTGTCGCAATCGCTGATGAAAAAGGATGTCTTTTCGCGCATATAATTACATGTTGCACTCAGTAATTCGGTTTGTTGATCTTCAGGTAGTAGACGCATGCCAGCAGTTGCCATCAAAAAGATGGGTGTTGAAGCATGGCTGTCCTCAGGTACCACTTCTTTGGAAAAATCGAGCAACATATCGAGGTGCTCGCCCACTTCATTTGGTTTCGAACCAAAGGTTGATATGCCTACATATATTGGAATGAGCACAGCTAAACAAACAAGACATGGAAACACTGACCTGGCTCTTCTCTGCTTGTCCATTTCAGCCCGTCTTTATCGCCTCTTTCTACGATAGGAATCTTCCCCCTCAACTCTTCAATTGTGAATGAATTTTTAGCAAATTCATGATCCTTCCAAGAATAAATATACACTCTGGATCCAGAGGAACCCGCATCTATGATAACACCATATTTTCTGTTCTCTTCCCAACGAGAAACTTGACTCGAGGACATGCTTCTTGATTAAATATTCGTGTCTCTTTCTCTCTCCCTAATTTTAATAAGCATTTGAGTAACCACACTATTTTATCTGTTGGTAGCAAGGTTTTATACTTTTTTTTCGTTTGTTTCCCTGCTTTTTGACGTTACTAAGCCTTGAACTGTTAATAGACAGGAGGAAACGACAAGTGATATAACAAATGATAACAAGGAAAGAAATAAAGGGTCAGGAAGAAAAGGAAAGGAAGGGAAAAGGGAAGGGGCGGACCCTTTTTTTCATTTCACCCATTTATACACTGCTTGCTGAGACGGTTCTGGACTAATGCGTTCTTATTGGAGATCCATTGCAGACATTCAAATGCGACACAAAATCAACAACCTTGTGTACCTTTCTGAGACCTTCTGTTATTAAAAGACAAGTGAGGATTCATTTATAATATAAGCTTTCTCACCTGGGGCATGTACCTGGAGCACACAGTTCTTCAAGAGCCATTTTAAAGCTCGATTGTGTGCACTAGGTTTGGGATGATGGCTAACGTACCAACCTTTTTTTGCCTTTACGTACTAACAACATATTAAAGCTCATAAATGCACACCCTGTCCAGCAGTGCTGTAGCGCTTGCTTTGCCTGCTATTTTTTGTTTGAACCAACGCACCAACGGCTAATGTATCACAACAAATCGTCTCTAGATATTGGTAGACTTACAAACTTCTTGTTGTATTGCACGTAACATAAATACAAAAAGACGATGAACGACGGCAATGCAAGTCTCTTGTTCCTAGTAGGTATGAATTCATCAATATAAACTTTCAGTTTGGGCTGTAGTGTAATTTATTGATTTGCATTACTGAAGGTTAGTTGTATACATGTGAAGTCTAGAGAATGATTTTGAGCTTTACCAAAATCAATATGCCTCCTATTCAAATTAAAAGTTGCATAGGCTGCAGAACTTCCCTTTCAGAAAAGTACAGCTAACAGAGGTGTGATTTATGCCCTGTAAATATAAGTTATAAAGCAAAACATAACCAAATTTGACAGCTTTCAAGCCTTCATATCTTGACATGTAGACCTTTCTGGGCCACCGGAATAACACCAAATTATTGTACTCGAGTAGCAGTAACTTTCTGATACCTTTGCTCAACTTTCTGGGCCAAAAAAAAAAATAAGGCCAAAAATCGACCAAAAACCATGAGGGGTACCTCCTGGTTTTCATCGAAAATCAAACGATCGCATTTTTCACCTTGAAAATGAATAATTTTACTATGGTATACATTGAATCAAAATGTTTCTCTCGATCCAACGCAACCCCTGAAACTACTTTTATGAGGTCTTCATATGCAAAATCTCGACATTTTGGCCTAAAACCGTATTTCATATTTTCTGGAATTGCTCAAAAAGTTCAGTCAAAACATCCATTTTACTTGTCACCATTGGAAGCGCCTTAAAAAGTACTATTAGGATGTATTAGGAAGCATGGGATGATCATCACGACTTATATAGTCAGATACCAAGAAATAGATTTAAGAAGTCGACAAAAGACAAAATTTGGCCAATCTTGATCAGAAAAAAACAAACTGAGCTTGAACCAAATTTGGCGGACGTCGCTGCTGCTGGCTGTTCCAAATGCCTTTTGATGACAATGACGATGATAATTATGATTGCGATGTTGTCCACATGGAGACCATGGATTTAAAAAGGACAATTACTTAGCTAGGTTACTTTTTTTGTTTTTGTTGAGAGTTTCTCACTATAAAGGTGTCTTTTGCAATGACTTGGATTGTGTCAAGTACAAAAGTATCGATTGTTTTCATCGTTTCAAGCATAAAATCTGCTGAGAAAATCAGTTGGCTGTCCGCCGACCAGAATCGATTCATTTTCAAATTTTGATCGTTTTTGCGATATTTGATTAACTTAGTACTATTAACTCCTCCATATTGTTATATACTTTTCTGTAGCTCTTTTGAAGATGCATCTAATGGTGTTATTTGCTTGGCCATTCTTTAGCAAAAGTGCCGAGTTAATTGCTATTATCTGAAAAGCAGTTTTTGGTCCAAAGGTCAATATTCTGGATATGCAATGTTCAAATTAACGTTTTGGGATGTTGCGCGAAGCTAATACAGTCATTTTGACATTATGCACGCTATAGAAGAAAATGTCGATTTCAGGATGAACACTGCGATCAATTGAAATTGAAGGATTAGGCCTTGCTAATACTCGTCCAAATTGTGATGTATTCCGGATCCAAAGAAAATTGAGATAAAGGATCAGAATGTAACTGTCAATCAAGAGAAGCTGTTTGGTGCCACTCTGACGATCCAGAACAGCCTGTATCAGGAGGAATTCTTGCTAGAAATCAGCCAAATTATGCTCTTTTTAGCCTCAAGCCAGTTGTAAATAGCAACCATAAGTGCAAATCAATCCCAATACTATAGTTTGTTCGTCATCTTACTCTCCCAAGTCAATGCTCGAGTAATATTGTATGCCCTGAATGCATGATACAAACAAATCAATGGTAATACAGCAATCATTGAAGGTATTGCAGATGGGTATTAAGGAATTAGGCGTTTTGTGCTGGACCTTGTCTGCTCGCGCAAAATGTAGCCTGACAGAGGGCAATTCATTTGCCTGCTACTAATCTCTTGAGCAAGGCTTTGTTTTGTAACTATTGCGTTATTATTTTGACGCTTCTTACTGACTCGTGTGCGACAAACGCTGCCCAAATCCCACTTTCAAACCATGCTCAACGCCTTGATGACTGCCATGACAGCAACATAAGCTGCTTCCACATGCCAGTTGCTATGTCCGAGAAACCAGGAGCTTGGTTGTTGATATATGGAGCCTTTTGATTATGCGAATTGCGTACATTCTGGGGGTTTTCCATCAGTTTGTCATGCTGATCTCATTGGGGGCATCAAACGAATTACATCCTACCAGTGTATCTATCATTTTTGTCCAATCATACCTGTCATTTATTAGCAATTTCAGTCACCTTGCCAAAAGGCAGTTCATATAAAATATTTTTTCTCTAATCATCCTTTTCTCTCTCTCTCTCTCTCTCTCTCTCTTCTTTTGACAAGCACAAATATACCTCTTTATACAGCATGTCTGACTTGAAAGATCTATCACAAAAGAGATATTGGGGAGGCATCCTTGCTCTTGGTGGTGTTGTATTTATATGGGTTTCATCCTCATTTGCCATGAATGTAAATATTTATATGAAATCTCCAATGTTGTTACCATTGTTAATGATTTGAATGCAATTGCAGAGCCTGTTTGGCGAAATGGAATACAACAAACCCTTTCTTGTCACTTACTTGAATACAGCTACATTCTCGTTTTATCTTATACCACTCTTATTCAAGAAATGGAGGCATACTAGGTACAGCCATCAGGATGCAATGCCATCATCACCAGCAAACGAGAACACAAAGTAAATATTTTGAATAATTGACAAAATACCCAAGCACGCAATTTTGCTAATGAGTGGCTTCATCATTGCATAGACTACTGGACAATCCTATCAACCACAACAACGTATGTATACATTTACTATTGCTACCCCCTTTTTTGCATTGATATTACAAATAAGGATATCATTGACTGAATAGGAAAAGCCTGTTGTACAGAGACAATCAATCTAACAGATCATCTATTCTTTTACTACAGCATACAACCACCTATGCCGCAGTTTCAGAGTCAACTGATGGCAATGCAACAGCCAATAGCATAACCACCACCTCACACCATAAGTTGTCCACTTATGATACCATCAAATTAAGTTTGGGATTCTGCATCTTGTGGTTCATTGCAAATTACACAACCAACGCCAGCTTAGCCTACACTACCGTTGGAAGCAGCACTATCTTGGCTTCGTTGTCTGGTCTGTTTACTTTGGGCATTGGTGCCATCTTCAAGGTAGAAAAGATGAATCTCATCAAGATTTTTGCGGTGTTTGTGAGGTATGTAACACGAAGCTTATTGTATTGTGCTATTGTTTATTCATATTATGATTCAGTTTAATAGGCGTATCGCTTGTGTCTTACTCTGATCATTTGAGTGGAGGGGGTGACGTTATTGATAAAGACCCTCTGCTGGCTGATCAAGGTCATTACCTATCTTCAATTCCTGCACCCCTTATCGGTGACTTCCTTGCATTACTCGGTGCCATCTTTTACGGTTGCTATACCACTCTGTTAAAGTTGAGGATTGGCAGCGAAGATCGTATCGACATGTCGTTATTTTTTGGCTTTGTTGGCGCTTTCAATGTCTTGTTACTCTGGCCCATGATACCCATTCTCAATTATATTGGTCTCGAGACATTTCAACTGCCTATGAATGCTACATTGTGGGTCATCATTTTGTTGAATGCCTTCATTGGTACCTTTTTGTAAGTGTGTTTAGTCGCCTATTGCCTTGCAAATCAATTGTTAACCCCCCCCCCCTTTCTGTATGCAGATCCGATTATTTGTGGTTGCTTTCCATGCTCATGACATCTCCTCTCGTAGTGACATTGGGTATCTCGTTAACTGTAAGTATAGATGGACATTGAGTTTGCACATAATGTTAATGGCTCTCATTAGATACCTCTCGCATTGATTGGAGATATTGTATTCAAGGGATTCATGCCTGGCATCAAATATTCCATTGGCGCTTTGCTTGTCGTTGCTGGCTTCTTGGCTGTAAACACAGACGCCATGCAAGAAGCCAAGGAGAAGGCTCAAGATGAGCTCTTGCGCGTCAGCGAAGAAGTATAAGCAGGGCATGTCGCCCTTATACACCATACTAGTCTGCCCCTTCGTTCAACACTTTTCATATACACAATAGCCAACTCTCATCCTCCTCTGTAAATATCAAACCTAATTCAACATTTGTATATTTTCATCATAAATCAATAGAACCTCCTATTTACATCATATTGAAAGCTTCATTTGGTTGATCTTAACTGTTGAAAAGGGTATAACGTTATCTTTGTCTAGCTGATGAGGCATCTCTTGCCATTGGAGAATTGCTGTAGAACTGGTTGTAATCAAGACGAACTACGAGACACAAGTATTGCACAGTTTCTTGAGCCGAGTAGAAATTAAGCGCATCTATAAGTAATTTCATATGGTACAGGAAAGAATCTTCCAACCGAGACAGACTTCGATTCGCGATACTATACATTGCCTCTGCACTGTCATGTAATCCGCTGATGGGCACGCCAAATCTATCCACAGTCTGGCTGTTTTCCAAGGAAGCCAAGAGATGGCTGTACTTTTCAGCTTGTGTTGTAAATGCCATGCATGAACTAATTAATTTGTTGAAAATCTAGTAGTACTAGCGCGTTAATACAGCCCGTGTAAGCGCCCCTGATTTACACTTACTCGCAGTAATTTAGAGTGTGTCAGCATACATTCTTTCAAGCAAGTGTCTAGAAAGTCAGAGTGATACTGCAATACTTGATCCACCGTTGTAATGTTTCTCAGATTCGCTTCTAATCGACGCCAGTTTGGCTCTAATACTTCGTTTGTTACGTAGTATGCAAATTGCTGCACAAATGTAAGCATGCGATTTCTGAGCGAGAATATTCTGAACTTGAGGTGATCAATCTCTGGGTTCCCTGATTTTCCCTTCCACAGCGCATTCTTTTGATTCATCCATGTACTGCATAGTAGATCTTCCACGTGTTTCATATTGAGGATATGGCGAAACAAGAGCTGGTATTTTGTGAGTGCCTTGCGTGATATCACAAGAGAGAGCGGGAATGTTACAGTGTAGTCCAAAGTCAATGCTTCGTAGCCTGATAACGGCTCCTTGCTGATGGTCGCTGCCATAGAGGACGAGGTAGACATGATGCTATTTGACAAGCTCTGCCCTCTTTCAAATACGCCACTGCCGCTGCTACTTGCTAAACCGCCAGCCGAGTTATTGAGTGTAGATAAGCGAGGATTGGATGAAGCGGATTCCATGCCAGACACGCTGATGATGCGCAATAATTGATCTATCAGACGCAAATGACTCATCGACACTTTGACATCTTCTTTGAATGGATCGTAGGCGGCTACTGAGGAAGGGTTTCGTAAAACTAGATCCATTAGTGATTGCAATCTTGTTTGGGAGATGTCCGAAGAGAGTTGCTTCAATTCATCCTTGGCTAGATCCAGAAACGAGGTTAAAAAGTCGGATTGGTCCAGGAAGAAGTAGTGTTTGAGAGATCTATTACAACATGGTTATGAACAACCAGACATTGACTAACACGCTGCTAAAGTTACCTCAATCGCTCGATCAATTGCTGGTCCTTCAGTAGTAAATTCAACAATGTTTGATTAGCGTACTTGTAAGCAATATCCAAACTCTTTACGAATCTACAGAGACGCTAATTAAGTCGACGATAAATGTAGCAATTTACATTTTCTTACCGACTACCGTCTACAGCGGCCCAAACCTCACTTCTTGTAGGCATGAAAGAGGGGTTACTGGTAGGATGTTGAGACGTGTTCGCTAGCGGGCTGTTTAAACTAAGATCTTGGTCTATATTTTGGCCCAGTATTTCGCTTTGCATCTCTTGTGGATTCGCAATCCTCACGCCACATTCTCGCACTACATTGAGGAATTTGCCAGCCAACAAGATCTGGTTCTTCATGGGCTCAAGAAACACAGGCACACTGCCCTCGCGTATAGTATATCGAGTCTCCCAATACGTATCGTTGTAGTCTTCCTTCAAATTTTCCTTCTTGACGCTCTTTTTCTCCAGCACCATAAACTCGTTGTATGAATCCCTGATTTCTCCGTGGTATATCCAAAAATTGAGAATTTCAAAATAAGGTACAGATGCCTTGGAAAGCAATTTTGTGTAGATCTTTTTGCACTTGGGATCACTGGAACGTCAAACATCAGCATCCAACAAAATACGCATATGCAGGTAGCACCTACCCACTGAGGCCAATCAATCTCTCGGATAAAATGTTGAGAATAGCACCACCCTTTTGATTCTCAGATATGTGTACCTCTTCATTCGATTCTTCCTTCTGAAGTCCTTCTATAACCGCTTCAATATCATCGTCCTCGTCTTCAGTAGCCTTTGATGTTTTGATGGATCGTATCGTCATTGCCAAATTATGCAAAATTTTCATGCTTTGTAGTAGTTCCTGAGCATAGAACCACAGTCTTTGCAACGTGAACGATGTTGATGTTTGAAATTCGTGTTCTAGTTGAGCGATAAAAGTCAAGTATTCCTTTGTATAGACTCTCATGGCAGCACATAATGCATGGTTGATTGTGCCGTATTCGAATCGGGAGAACTGATCAATAAAAGCACTAATAGACATGTAGTATGTTGCCAAGGGCAAGATCTTTTCCACTAAATGCTTCAAGCTGGGATCTATGTTTGAAGGCTGAGTATCTCGTATCAACTCGCTTCTGCTTGTTTAGTGTACCTAATGTAGGGTCAATGATATACCTCATGGCATCCCACGAAGTTTCTCCTTGTTGTTGTGAATAATGCGAATGAATGTCTTCCATCAGATCACCGTCGTCTAGTAAAGCTTTTGGATAGTCGCATTTGATGTATAAGCCATCAATGCCCTGAAGAAACGTGTTCAGCATCATGTGTCAGTAACAGAGTAATGCTATGCTTACAATCAACACATATAACAGGTCCTCGATTACAGCATATTCCTGGATTTGCACAGAAAAATCACCTACAGTCCCCTGTGGAGCTGAATCACCACTTGCTTGACCTACAGCCGTTTTAGTGTATGATTTACACCATGAATCCATTCGCTTACCTGATGGAGAATTCGTTGACATGGGGCTTGACTGAAAGGATGCCTCTGAGTCAATCATGCTCGTATTCAAAGCAGGAACTGACCCACCTCTAATATTGGCAAGATTTTTACTGATCTATTACGATTAGATTCCAAGGTAGTTATGTCAGTGGCAAGCCAACTATCGTCTTACTTTGCTCAGTTGATTCTCTGATAGTAAAACACTTTTGCTGGCTGTAGATGTTGCTGGGTGGTTGTTGGAGGCATTGATGGAGTCGCTATGAATAGGTGCACTTGAGGAGGATGCCAGTGTTGTTCTAAACGCTCTTTCTGTCCTGAATGAAGGTGATTGAGTAGGTGATCTACTAATACGTGACATAATATTCGAGCGATGGATGGAAGAATAACGAAAAATGTTTCGCGCTTGCAAATATTCCTGAATTGTACGTGAATGTAGCTCTGTCTGTACACATCAGCGTCGCATGGATTCATTTGAACTCCGGGAGTTTGCCTTGTTGATTGAAGGACGCATTGCGATGGCTGTCTCGGCTTGATACAATATGGGCATCATCCATCTTGATGAGGCCATTTGGACGTGCCAGAACTGGTAAAATTACCGATTAGTATTTACTGATCTCACTTCAAATTTTGAGCTAAAGACTTGAATCACAATCGGATGAAGGGCTCAAATCAGGCACTACTTCATGTGCAGGTCAAAGTTTCTCTAATGATTGTTGATACAGTATTAAGCCTATGAAAATGTTACAACCAGAAGCTGTAGCAAGATTCGAAATCCAATTAGATGATCTCAGCTAGATGCTGTTATACTGTTGACGTCAACTAGCGCCCTCACGGTAGACTCTATTTGTTTTGGGTACATGCATACCGAGTTCTGATATCAAATGTTCATGATAAACATTACATGAGTGCCTCTTGTTCAACAGGATGCCATTATGCAACAACATTGATTGGCTTGAAAGCAGTGAGGATTAAACGACGGAATCTTAAAATTAAGCTTTCAAATGGTATTGCCAACTTGAAGCTATATACAAACATCACATTTGATAGAAGAAAAAAGGGAGAATTTATTGAAGGTGTGAACTATTTGGAGATGTGCGTTGTATAAGATTCATATAAAAAAATATAATTAGGGTAGCAATACATTAACGAAGAAGGGGAGAGGAGGAGGAAGGGGAAAAAAAGGATCAGCAAAATAATCGATTCAAATCAACCTAACCTGTTGCAACATGAAATGTCAATTATCACATTTACACATTTGGTATTGTTCAACTTACAGGCACATCCACCAGCAGCAGACGAGTTTCCTGAATTCTCTAAATCTACACCACCACGAGAGTTTAATCCGGCTCTATTTCTACCACCACGCGAGCTATCTGCAAGTTGATCGAGAGGCATACGCTTGGCTATCGCATGAAATAACTCGTTGACATTCTCGGCAGTTTTTGCCGAAGTTTCAAAAAACAACAAACCAGCTTCGTCAGCGTACTCTTGAGCAGTCTATGTATGATCAGTAAGTCGACTATCACTGATCAGCATACCTGCTCATCTTACCTTGGTCTCAATAGCTCTTCTGGCCTCAAGATCGGACTTGTTACCAGCTAATGCAATGACAATATTGGGATCTGCTTGGCGTTGTAATTCATTGACCCAAGCCTTAGCTTTATCCAAAGAGGACTAGATGAAATGCGGTGAGTTGGCATGTTTTTTTTTCTTAAGCCAGCAGCAAAGAAGGGGACTTACAGCTTGAGTAATATCATACACGACGACAGCGCAATTAGCATTGCGATAATACATGGGTGCCAAACTCTTTGCACTTGGTATTAGTACAGATCATCCGATTATTCTACAGATTAATTAAAATATAATGAAATACCTTGTATCTTTCTTGACCTGCTGTGTCCCTATATGTGTCATGCATAAGTCATATGTATTAATCTAACATGTTTTAACATACCAAATTTCAAATTTTACAGTAGTGTTATCATCTAATGAGATAGTTTGTGCCAAGAACGCAGCTACAAGTTGAAAGAAATTTAGCACAATGATAGGCATCCCCTTACAAGCAATTTCTCTTTCTTCAACCCTCCTTTTCCGCTTGTATTTAGTTTTCCTTTACCCCCTTTATACTCATATGATGTATATAGAAAGCGAAAACAAATAAGAGAAGAGAGACAAGATGAAAGAGCCGAATGTTATCAAAATTGGTACTCACCACCAATAGTGCTCTCTCTGTATTCATCAAAATGATCTTTAACAAAACGCATCACCAGACTATCAGCCAAGAAATGCATGTTAGTCGCTTTCTTCTCTACCAAGCAATACAGATTTCTTTTTTGTGCTGTATTAAAATCCCCATTTACCTTGACTTTCCTACAGCAGACTCGCCTAAGAAAAGAGTCAACATTTAACATGTGTTTCCTTGGTATCATTATCTCTATTCATTTACCCAAAAGAACAAGCTTGAATTGATAGGTCTTTCCTTGTTGTGAAGTCATGTATGCGATATAGTATAAAAAATATAAAATAGAAGAAATAGAAAAAGAGAAAAAGAGTACGAGAGAAGAGAAAAAGTCGCTGGCAATTATCCAATAAAGGGGAATCGCCAATGACGTCCTCTGAATAGAATCACTCTACACATTGTATCTGAGTTTCTGAAGTTCATGTGTTCTTGTGTCCAGTAGAGAATGGTCATAAAAGAAGGAATAGGAAACCATAGATGACCATGGTTTGTGATTACTTGTTGGCCTTAGGTTGGCAAATTTCGTCTCATTTCGAACCCTGTCAGCCAACAGCACTATGTGCAAACACAAAGATGCTTATGAATACCAAGCCGAGTATAGTCGCCATTAACCAATCGTCTGTATGCAATTTGCCTAAATCTGGAAATCATCATGGACAGGAGATGCTCAAAATTGCCTAAAATATGAAATCACCATTAATATCGTTAAAATGACCTGCGCTCTCTCTCTCTCTCTCTTTTTTCTATATTATATCACATGAAGTATTGCTGAATCAAGGAATCAAATGGTATATGGCTGTCAAAAGACAGTAATCTTTGTTATTCCATATCACAGCATCAACAAGTCGGCGGATCACAGTTCAGCAAAAGCAACGACGATGCTTATGCATTTCACATCTTCTGTATGAGTAGTTTTCAATAATCAAGCCTATCAAATATAAAAATACGAGCGTAGCGAGATTGTATCTAATTCATTATTTGGTAATATTAGTCAATGGGTTTTATTGTAACCTAGCAAAGGCGCAAAACCATAGTGTTTAAGCAGCAAATTCGGGTTTTCATTTCCATTGTTAATAAGCTTACTAGCAACATATCGCATCAAAATTTGCATGAATCAGCTTTACCGAAATCAATATGTCTCCTGTTCGAATTACAAGTTGCACAGGCTGCAGAACTGCCCTTCCAGAAGACTTCAGCTATCAGAGATGTGATTCATGCCGTGTAAATAAAAGCCATAAAGCAAAATATAACCAAATTAGACAGCTTTCAAGCCTTCATATCTTGATATGTAGACCTTTCTGAGCCACCGGAATAACGCTAAACAATTGTACTTGAGTAGTAGTAATTTCCTGACACCTTTGCTCAACCAAAAAAACATGGTCAAAAATCGACCAAAAGCCATGAGGGATACCTCATGGTTTTCATCGAAAATCAAACGATCGCATTTTTTACCTTGAAAATAAAGAATTTTACTATGGTATGTATTGAATCAAAATGTTTCTCTCAATCCAACGCAACCCCTAAAACTACTTTTGTGAGGTCTTCATATGTGAAATATGGCTATTTTCGTCAAAAACCTCATTTTAAATTTTATTAAATTGCTCAATAACTTCAGTTGAAACACGTATTACAATTAGCACCATTAGAAGCGCCTCGAAAAGTACTCCAAGAATGTATTAGGAAGCGTAGGGTGATCATCACAACTTGTATAGTCAAATATCACAAAATAGATTAAAGAAGTCGAAAAAAGACAATATCGGTCCAATCTTGAACAGAAAAAAAAAAAAAAAAACTGAGTTTGAATCGATTTTGGCGGCGGCGGCTTGCTGCTGGCTGACCTAAACGCGTTTCTATTGATGACAGTAATGATTGCGATGCTGATTAAATGGGAATCATGGAGTTGAAATGGTAATTGCTTAGCGCAAATACTTTTTTTTTGGGGGGGAGCTTTGCCTCATGAAGGCGTCTTTTGCAATGAGACTACCTCAAAAAAGTCGATGTAGATTTTACACAAGTCCTGTATTTACTTACTAGCCGATCTATCTCGCTACGCTCGATGTCGGCGTTGCCCTACGGGCTCTCGCCAAAGACATTTTAAATTTGATATTATAAAATTTTGGTATATCAAGTGGATTTTAAACAGCCAATTATTAGTTAGCAAAAGAAAGGTTATATCAAAGTCAGGAGGAGGAGAGGAGGTATCTCCCTCAGCACCCCTTTTTGCTTACACTGATATCAAACGAAACCTATTATGGAAACGATATGAAAGAAAATTCAAGTTTTTTGCAGCATTTGTACATCACAATCGCCATTTTCTGATAATAGAATTGTCATACCATTCGCTGCTGCTGATGCTCTTAATAAGATGGCGACATAAAGCTGGTCATAAGTAAATACAGGACGTGAGTAAAATCTACATCGACTTTTTTGAGGTAGTCTCATTGCAAAAGACGCCTTCATGAGGCAAAGCTCCCCCCCCCCCCAAAAAAAAGTATTTGCGCTAAGCAATTACCATTTCAACTCCATGATTCCCATTTAATCAGCATCGCAATCATTACTGTCATCAATAGAAACGCATTTAGGTCAGCCAGCAGCAAGCCGCCGCCGCCAAAATCGATTCAAACTCAGTTTTTTTTTTTTTCTGTTCAAGATTGGACCGATATTGTCTTTTTTCGACTTCTTTAATCTATTTTGTGATATTTGACTATACAAGTTGTGATGATCACCCTACGCTTCCTAATACATTCTTGGAGTACTTTTCGAGGCGCTTCCAATGGTGCTAATTGTAATACGTGTTTCAACTGAAGTTATTGAACAATTTAATAAAATATGAAACGAGGTTTTTAGCGAAAATAGCCATATTTTGCATATGAAGACCTCACAAAAGTAGTTTTAGGGGTTGCGTTGGATCGAGAGAAACATTTTGATTCAATACATACCATAGTAAAATTCTTTATTTTCAAGGTGAAAAATGCGATCGTTTGATTTTCGATGAAAACCATGAGGTATCCCTCATGGCTTTTGGTCGATTTTTGACCATGTTTTTTTGGTCTTCAAAAAAGTTGAGCAAAGATGTCAGCAAGCAAGTGCCAAGTGAAAGCAATTGTGTAGTGCTATTCTGGAGGTCTAGAACAGCTTCTAACGCGAGAAATACGGCTCAAAAGCATCCAATTCACGCTGTATTTTGCATACTTTTGAGCGCTAAAGACAGTGTAATCAGCACTAATCTGCCATCTAGCCTGCGTGAATTCACAATAGAGACAAGCTCGTGCTACTCTAGCTGTTAAAAAAAAGTTCTAGCACAGGAAACCAGTGCGCAAGCCCGTCCAAAAACAAGTAATTACTTTTCATGTTTATTAGCGAATGATTGAATTCTGTTGCAAGTCTTCTTGGATACATCGTGTGCATTGGCACAGAAAATGATAATGAGAAAGGAGTCTTGCACGACGGTCTTTTACATCTTCACCGACTGAACCATAGGAAATACATGCTTCCTCGCCCTTTTCAATCATGCGCCTTGCTAAAAACTTCATTTGCCTTCCCTCTCTCACTTTGACAACATTGGCATCGCATGAATGATTGAAATAGACAGCAGAAGGATAGATACCCCAGCCTAGTAGCTCCAAATCATCAGTGACACCTCCATCAGCCAAAGAAACACCACTATCACCCAATTCCCACAATCCAAAGCTGTTTGCCCTCTCTCTGAAATAGATGGAACGGAAGAGTCGATGGTCTACGTTAGCTAGCGCTGGTACTTGATGGAGTGGACTTGTCAGCGCACGCGTAAAGAAGGCGTATAATGCCACAACATTCTGTACTTCAGCTGGCAGCACTGACAGTAATGTCTTTCTCTTGTTGACATCATTTTTGAATACAGGAAGTTGATTCACTCTACTGGGGTATAAAGTCGAGGTTGTATAGTGGCTCCTGAAGTGTGCCAATTCGTTATTTTGGATGACCAGAAGCTCCTCAAATTGATCTGGGTCGTCATGCTTACGAGCAATGCAGGTAGCGATCAGCCTACACATGGCCTTGTCATTATCGTCGATATCTCGGTGCAAATCATTACTCTTTGTTATGCAATCCCAAGCATCTTCTAACCAGAGCGTTAATGATTCATCATTGTCCACATCAATCCAAGGCACGTTCTTTATGTTTTGGTGAATATGAGCTGGTATGGGCGCATCTGGTGTGTGGTTGCTACTTGATGTGTGTTCTTGATCAAGTCGATAATGTGATGCCAATATGAGAGATGTCTTATCATGCAGTATGAATTGACTTTTACAAGATTCCGTGCAAAACAACATGCCTTTGAACAAACTTCCACTGTTTTTCTTGATCGGCACCTGCCATCGATTTGCCAGTACTTTTTCTTCTTGTAATGCCATCACTTTGACCTTTTGTTTCTTGGGATAACTGAAATTAAAACACCACATACAGGTTTCGGGTATCCATTCTTGTGATACAGTAGTAGCCAGTGGGTCGGATACATGAATAACAGTGCCAGTGGCAATGGTGGTAGCTGCTTTGTAACCTCTGCCTTTGCTGGGCAAAACGGCAATTTCGATGGGATTCATGTGGATAATAAGAAATGAAGAAGAAAAAAAAATTTTCTCTGATTCGGTTCGATTGGTTTCATTGTAATTGTGTGGTTATCTGTCAAATCAAAGAGATAAATCGGATCATCGATTTGCCTGGGATTCTCGGAGACAAATTAAGCTTTTCAATGTGGGTATTCACCGTTCCTTTTTCATCAAATTTCATTAAGTAGTTGAGACAAACAGACTCGGTGAGTTTGTTTAGTTTTGACGCTTCTCTTCGTCATGTGCGGTCGATCCTTGCTCATTATTGGCAAAGATTGAATTTCAAGGAACATTTCAAAAGGTCCAACCGTAGATTTTAAATAGTTCGTATGTGGCATTGGCGCCAAAGCTAAAAACCAATCAGTGCACCATATACAGGGCAGATGCACAATGTGAGGTCTCGCTGATCTGTGTGATGTTTATATTATAACCACCTATTTTTGTATGTCGTCTAGACAGAATAGTTTTTGTGAACATGATACATGTATGAACCGAGGAACTATGCTACATGTTATTCCCGCATTGAGACAGATTCAATCGCTGATGTCAGTATAGTCGGATCAGGTTTGACAGGTCGATGTGGGTGGATACAATCCATGCAGATCGTTGATTTGAAGGCTACAGGCTAGTCATTGGGTGTAATAAATCGTCTAATTTGTTCTATCCCAAAGAGGTCGATATTGAAACCAAATAGCCTTCCTTTACTCGATCCACATCGAACTATGATATAGATATCAGGTAATTCTTGTCAGGTTCTACTCTCATGATGACAGTAGTGCCGTCATACACGATATTTTTCTCCGAGCAAACAAACATGAAGTTCTGTAAAACAGACAAACGGTAAAACACAGATAAATAGCAAGGTTAAATTTCGTAATCAAAAGAGCTTCTCTTCTTTTTCTGTTTTCCTTTCGGTGTTGTATACGTTACTATAGATATTTGCGTCTAGAATCACATCTTTCTGCGGTCATCACCATCTCTCTCGAAAAAGAAGCTTTCTTTTGATAGATAAATACATCAGTCAAATAAACAAACAAACAAATCAAAACAAGATAAACTATGCTTTTGGTTACAAACGTGGATCAGTACATGGGGTTTGCTATCACATCTCATCTTGCACAATACAAAGAACTACGACCTCAACTACGGGTGCTCTGCTCCAGTAAATCTCGTTGCCATGGTTTCTCGAATGCTGGCATTGATGTCAGAGAAGTTGACTACAGCCACCCAAACCAGCTTTCACTTGCACTTCGAGGAGTAGATCACATTGTGCTTGCTATTGGAAATGAAAGCAAACGAGTTGAACATGCCAAGCACATCTGCACAGTAGCTGCGCAATCGGGTGTCACTAGCATCATCTGCATCTCTCACGTGGGTGCTGTCTCTCAACTCCATCCTTCTCTACAAGATTTCCATCAGATCGAACAACAAGTCATGCAAAGCACATGTCAATACACGATTCTAAGGTACATGATTATAACATCGCAAGCAAAATGGCATGGTAATTGATTGATTTAGGCTTGATTTTGTGCAACAATACTTCCATTTGTGGTCCAACTATGTGGAGAAGCATCGCCAAATGATATTACCAATGACTCAAGATGCACAAATCTGTCCAGTTGACATTACAGACGTATGCAAGGTGATTGAAGAATTGTTAGTAGACCCTATTCAGCACACATACAAGCAGCTGAACGATAAGCACGATGGACAAGTCTACACACTCACAGGTCCTGAAGTGCTGAATGGCCAGCGCATCGTGGAACTATTGACGCTGTCAACAGGATATGAGCATTTTAAGTTTTGTCACGGCCGTCTTATGGATCTTGGATACTACATGAGCGGGCTTGGTAAAGATGTTTGGTTTGACGCCAGGTTGAAGCAAGAAATGTCACAAATTTACCACGATACTTATGAAAACAGCAGCTATAGAGACAAGGCGTATGCAAATCCTACAGGTATGTCTGCTAAGGCTACATTTGATGGCATACTCATTCTTTATTTAGAGAAACAAATCCAAACATATCTCGATTATTTTGATTGGGTACAGCAAACGTCTGGCAGCATCTGTGTACCGCACACGGCTATGCTCATTAGCTCATCCTGTGAATCTATCGAGAAATTCTTCAAGGAAAATGCCAACAGCTTCAAGCCAAGAGTATAGCATATATATATATATAAATAGCTTGTAGAAGGCTATTCGCCATCTTAATCATGTTTACGTTAAAAGAAGCATCACGACAACAGCAACTTAACTCATTGAAATCACACCATTTTTTATAATAACAATAAAAGAAAAAAAAAAAAAAAAAAAAAAGACATCTTTATCGATTACATATAAAAAAGAAAAAAAAAAGGGGGGGGGGGAATAAAAAAAAACCAACTCATTTACACTATAGACAAAACACATTAAGTATACTGCAGCCACTAACTGTCAAACAAACATCAACTTACTAGCATATTTTCTGGTCCAATCTCTTGCTGTAGACTCGTAGCGAGAACGATCAGTTTTGTAGATATGAGCGAGTTCGGGTACAAGTGGGTCTACATTAGGAGAAGTAAAAATCAATATTTCCCCTTCCTTTTCAATCGAAATGCGCCGCAACTACTTACCATCAGGGTTAGGGTCAGTGAGCAAAGAGCAGACAGATAAAAGAACTGTTCGAAAATGTGAGTAAGACATGTACATCTGAGTTTCATCTCTCTCTCTCTCCCTTTTCATAATGAGAGATGAGCCGCGTGTTATATATTTACCCTTGGAAATGGTCAAAGCAGGAGACCACTGGTCCTTCAAGATATCGAGACAAATGGAGCCATTGCTGTTAATGTTGGGATGGTAGATCTTGGTAGTGAAGTTGATCTATACCATGTAATATCAGCATCCCAGCGGTAACATTTACGACTACGCTAAAAAGCCATGACTCACCTTTGGAGGCTTGAAGGGGTAGTCAGTAGGGAAGTGGATAGACAAGAAGAAAACACCACCTTGGTAAGGGCTATCCTCCTAATACAGCAAGCACTTAATATCGAATCCAAATGCCTCCGCTCACAGACAGAATACTTACAGGGCCCATAATAGTTGCTTGCCAATGGAACAAATCATCTCCAATAGGACCTGCTGAACATGAAGAAGGAGGATCGCGTTCGAGGTCTTTGAGTTCCTATCAAAAGATGCTGTTAATACAAGTTGAATGCAAAACGTCGCTATCATGATATTTACTTTGTTAATACGTTTTAAAGCCATTTTTTTTATTATAAAAAAAGATAAAAGAAGAAGAGAAAAAAGAAAAAAGAGGGAGAGTGCTTTTTTAAAATCTTTTCAAATCCTGAGCACGCGGCAGCCAATGTTGACCAATTAGAGCCGTACGGTCACAGGCAATACTCTATCTTGATGGTATCAAATTTTTCGTAAGCTATCCTCTTCCTCTTGTTTATATCAGAATGGCATCTGCTAGAAAGGTCGAGTTATCGAGGGAGCTGCTTGCAGCTAGCAAAGTGGCAAAAGTGTTTCCGGAAAGCGAGAGACCAATGACTTCCATCTCGTTCAATGATACAGGAGAGTATTGTGTTACTGCTGGCGATGATGATAGCTTGAACGTATACAACTGCAAAGAGGGAACGTACGTAAGCATAGCAGGTTGGCGGTCATGTCATTAGTTTTGACAGGTGTCTCTTATAGTGCTCGCTCAACTCTCTACTCTAAAAAGTATGGTGCCACGCTCGCTCGATTCACACATCACAAAAACAACGTTATTTATGCATCCACTAAAGAAGATGGTAACAATCCATGCTGGTATGCATGTACCTGAAATCATGCTAATAGGAATTGTAGACACACTAAGATACCTATCCGTGCACGACAACAAATACATTCGCTACTTTCGAGGACACAAAAAGAGGTAGATGTAGCATCGATTTTCCATCGTCAGATTCGATCTTAATATGTTGGCATAGAGTTATTGCAGTCGAAATGTCGCCAGTCAATGATACCGTAATGACTTCGTCGCTGGATCAGACTGTGAGATTATGGGATTTGCGGTCATCCACCTGCCAGGTATTTGCCAACACGAATGCAGCATTTGAGCGTACGCCTTGACTGATCACATTTACACAGGGTGTATTGCATGGAGACGGAAAGACATTAGTAGCATTTGATCCGCAAGGCTTGGTGTTTGCTGTAGGCAACAACTGCAATACGATCCGAGTCTACGATGTGAGAGATTATACAAAAGGACCTTTTGCCACTTGGACAGTAGAGGATCCTCAATTCCCAGCTGGCCGACTACCTGAATGGACCAGTCTCAAGTTTTCCGCAGATGGAAAACAACTCATTATAACCACCACAGCAGACATTCTTTATGTGTTGGATGCTTTTGAAGGCAAACTACTGCAGAGATTAGTGGGTCATTCCGGCACGAACAATGTTGCTTCTTGTGGTGAGGAGGTGTGCATCACGCCCGATGCTCGATTTGTCATGGCAGGTGGAAGAGATGCTCATTTGCGTATTTGGGATTTGAACGCAAATAACGGCATGCTGGACAATCAACCATTTGCTACATTACCAACACCTCATAAAACGGGCATAAAAATCGTGGGCTATAATCCTAGCAATGCAGTCGCTGTTACTGGTGCTGAAGAGTTAGCCCTCTGGCTACCTTCGTTTGACTAAAGATTTTGATACAACCTGTAAATAATAGTATAGTTTCTCCTCCCTTTTTTCCTTGATTTCATTATTCTTTGCGTCTATTGTTTTAAGCGGATAATGCCATCATCTCCAACATTATGATTTACCCGATTTTCAAGGTCCTTTTTAAAGTTTGGGCTTGATAATAAAATGCATTAGATATCGCGAGAGATGAATGTTAGGCACAAGTTCTCTTTCTTTCGTTTCTACCTTTTTTTTTTCTACTTGGAATTGGATTCGGAAAACATGAGTATGACAACTACATCTGCACCACTGACCATCTGTATTGACAGAGGAGGTACATTTACTGATTGTATTGGTTTCGTCGGTAAACCGGGAGATGAAAACTACAAGGAATACGTTGTGAAATTGCTCTCAGAGGACCCTTCAAACTACAAAGACGCTCCTACCGAAGGCATTAGACGAATCGTAGAGCTTGCTACGGGTGAAAAGCACCCTCGGTCTGAGCCTGTGCCTACGACCAACATTGGTGAGTAGGGCATATCTAATGTAGCCGTCAATTTTCAAGCACTAAACCAATGGCTTTTAGAAAGCGTGCGCATGGGCACCACAGTCGCTACCAATGCATTGCTAGAGAGAAAAGGAGAATCAAGTGCATTGCTCATCACCAAAGGTTTTGGCGATCTATTGACCATAGGTAAAGTACAATTCTCACGCTAAAAAAAAAAAGTTGCAAGGGCATTGATGTTTGTTTTTCGTTAGGCAATCAATCAAGACCCAAGATCTTTGATCTCTCTATTAGTAAGCCCGACGTGCTCTATCAAAAGGTCATTGAGATTGATGAGCGGTAAGTGTGTCTAACATGTATAGCATTCATCTTTTTTTTTTTTTTTTTTTTTTTTTTTTTACTGACTTGATGTGCCAGTGTTGTCTTGCTAAATTCAGCTGCTTCATCCGAGCAGATTGATCCCAAAGATATCAAGGATGATAATGTGAGTCAAGGTATATCAGGAGAGTGGATCAAAGTAGTTCAACCACCAGGTAAAGTGTCATTGCCAGAGAAAAGTAACGGCTATGTAGTCTAATACTCCTTCTTACTAGACCTGGATGCCATCAAACTTCAATTGCAATCACTGTATGACGAAGGCTACAGAAGCATTGCCATTTGTCTTTTGCACTCTTACACTTTCCCTGACCATGAGCAACAGATTGGCGAATTAGCGCAGTCTATTGGCTTTGACCACGTCTCGCTTTCCAGCCAGGTCATGCCCATGGTCAAGGTGGTTCCACGCGGTACGTCAGCAACTGCAGATGCCTATTTGACACCTTGTATCAAGAAATACATCAAGGGGTTTGTAAGCGGCTTTGATGATGGATTTGAAAAAGGGACAACACAGTTGCAATTCATGCAAAGTGATGGTGGTTTGGTGCCTGTGAGCAATTTCTCTGGTTTCAGGGCCATCTTGTCTGGCCCTGCAGGCGGCGTCGTTGGATACGCTTTGACAACATTTGACAGGCAGTCCAAGGTACCTGTCATTGGGTTTGATATGGGTGGTACTAGCACAGATGTGTCTCGATTCGATGGTCATTATGAACATGTGTTTGAGACGACTACTGCTGGCGTTACTATACAAGCACCTCAATTAGACATCAACACAGTGGCTGCTGGCGGTGGATCCATGCTGTTTTTTAAGAATGGCATGTTTGTCGTCGGCCCTGAGGTAATAGTAAAGAATATATATTAGGTAATGGTTGTATTGCTCACACGTGTATGATGTTAGAGTGCTGGTGCTCATCCAGGCCCCGCCTGTTACAGAAAGGGTGGTCCATTAGCTGTTTCGGATGCCAACTTGCATCTCGGCCGTCTTCTGCCAGACTACTTTCCCAAGATCTTTGGGCCTAACGAAGATCAACCTCTGGACAGGGATGTCGTGGAAAAGAAGTTTCAAGAGCTTGCCGATACCATTAATACCTCGACGGGTGAGCACAAGTCCTTGGATGAGATTGTTTATGGCTTTATCAAGGTAGCCAACGAAACCATGTGTCGTCCAATCCGTGCCTTGACTGAAGCCAAAGGTCATGATACAAGCAATCACACTCTGGCTGTATTTGGTGGTGCTGGTGGCCAACACGCATGTGGCATCGCCCGTAACCTTGGTATCAACAAGATTGTGCTGTATCGCCACAGCTCTATCTTGTCTGCTTTCGGCTTGGCACTCGCTGATGTTGTTCATGAGGTGCAGGAGCCCTCGGCTGAAAAGCTGAATACAGGGCTATCTCGTATCCAAGAGCGTGTATCACATTTGAAAAATGAATCAATTGCTGAGCTTTCCAAACAAGGCTTCAGAGACAGAGATATTGTCACTGAAGTCTATCTCAACCTTCGCTACGATGGCACTGATTGTGCCTTGATGACACTGCAACCTGCTGCTGATAACTGGGACTTTGAAAACGCATTCCACGAGGTGTACACTCAGGAATTTGGCTTCTTGCTCAAGGACAGAGACATCATTGTGGATGATATCCGTGTTCGTGGCATTGGAAAGACCATTCAAAACAACGATCTCACGCCTGATCGTGATATTGAAGAGCTCAAGGCAGCAAACAAGATTGTGGAGATCTCCAACGCGACGGACAATTTTGCATCCGTTTATTTCGAGGAAACTGGAAGAGATGACCATGTTCCTGTCTACCGTTTGGGTGATCTGAAGCCAGGATCTTCCATTACTGGACCCGCCATCATCATTGATGTCACTGCCACTGTCGTTGTGGAGCCTTCTTGCACCGCATTGATTACGGCAGGACATATTACCATCACTGTAGGTCGTGGCGAAAAAAAGGTGGTTACTACTGAAATGGAACCCATTCAGCTGTCCATCTTTTCGCACAGATTCATGAGTATTGCTGAGCAAATGGGCCGTACATTGCAAAAGACAGCTATTTCAACCAACATCAAGGAGAGATTAGGTACGTGGTTTGATAAAGTTGTGCAAATGCTTGTTATTGACATGAAGGGCAGACTTTTCGTGTGCTTTATTTGGTGCTGATGGCGGTCTCGTAGCCAATGCACCTCATATTCCTGTGCATTTAGGCTCATTGAGTCATGCTGTCATTTATCAACTCAACTACTATGATGGCCAACTATCCGAGGGCGATGTGATCATGACAAACCACCCACAAGCAGGTGGCTCTCATTTGCCTGGTACGTGTGAGAAGTTTAGATAAAGAGAGCGTTTGCAACTAATGCAATGCAACAGATATCACCATTATCACACCTGTGTTCGACAATGGCAAGATTGTCTTTTTTGTGGCATCCAGAGGCCATCATGCTGATATCGGCGGCATCTCTCCTGGATCCATGCCTCCTCATTCCAAAGAGCTATATCAAGAAGGAGCTGCCATCAAGTCATTCAAGATTGTTTCCAAAGGTCATTTCGACCAAAAGGGGCTTGAGGAACATTTGTGCACTATCCCAGCTTCCTATCCTGGATGCTCAGGTTCACGTGCATTCAAAGATAACGTTTCAGGTACCTTATGCGCGCTACATTGCCATGTTACAAGTCTACTCACAACCGCTTGTTAGATCTCAAGGCTCAAATTGCTGCTAATCAAAAGGGCATCAACCTGGTCAAATCACTGATTCAAGAATACTCGTTGGAAGTGGTGCAAGCCTACATGATGCATATCCGTCGAAACGCTTCAGATGCAGTGAAGTCTCTTTTAAAACAAGTCGCCCAGGAGCATTCTGAGCAATTGATAGCCATTGATCACATGGATGATGGTACGCCTATCCACTTAAAGGTGTCTATTGACCCAGTTCAAGGTACCGCTTTGTTTGATTTCCAAGGAACAGGCCCTGAAGTGTATGGAAATACAAATACGCCTGAAAGTGTGTGCCACTCTGCTATCATTTATTCTATCCGTTGTTTGGTGAATCAAGACATTCCACTCAATTCTGGCTGTCTGGAGCCTATATCCATCAAAATCCCTGCCAACTCCATCTTGAGTCCTTCTGAGCGTTGTGCTGTCGTGGGAGGCAATGTCTTGACTAGTCAGCGATTGGTGGATGTCGTGCTCAAGGCCTTCAATGCCTGCGCAGCTAGTCAGGGATGCTGCAACAACCTCACGTTTGGTAAAGGTGGGAAGAATGAAGATACCGGTAGCACAACCACTGGTTGGGGTTACTATGAAACCATTGCTGGTGGCAGTGGTGCCGGTCCTACATGGGAAGGTCAAAGCGGTGTGCACACCCACATGACGAACACTCGTATCACTGATCCTGAGATCTTGGAGAAACGCTATCCTGTGATACTTCACCAGTTTGCAATTCGTCCTCACACAGGTGGTCGAGGCAAACACAATGGCGGTGATGGTGTCATTCGTGAAATCGAATTTTTAGAGGATGGCATCCAAGTGTCCATCTTGTCTGAGCGACGCGTGTTTAGTCCCTATGGCCTTGCTGGCGGCGAGGATGGCAAGAAGGGCCTCAATATCTGGGTTCGGCATGAAAAGTCCAGCCAAGGCGATGATGTTGTAAGGACACTCAACATGACTGGAAAGAATTCGGCCCTGTTTGGCCGTGGTGATCGCATCGTCATTAATACGCCTGGCGGTGGTGGATATGGTCAAAAGTAAACAAGGGGTTTATTGTAATTATGGGGTTTCTATCAAAATAAATGCTTTTAATCAAGTGGGATCCAGTCTCTTGGGTTCTTCAAAACTTCCTCTAAATCTTGCTCCCTTGAGCCTTCCTCAACTTCCTTCATGTATTCCCAGCGAGATGTAAGAGGCAAAGACATCAAGATGGCCTCGATACGTGCACCAGGCGTCTCCAAGCCAAACTTGGTGCCTCTATCCCAGACCAGATTGAACTCGACATAGCGACCGCGACGAATTTGCTGCCATTCCTTCATTTCAGGGGTGAATTTCATGTTCATTCTCTTCTTGACGATAGGAATATACGATAATGAGAATCTGTTACCCATTTCCTTGATGAAATTGAAAATTTCGTCAGCAGGCTTGTCGTCCAAATCGTCAAAGAAAATACCACCAAGACCACGCGCTTCACCACGGTGTTTGATAAAGAAGTACTTGTCGCACCATTGCTTGAACTGGCCATAGTATTTCTTGTCGTATTTATCACAGCCGTCTTTGAGCACTTGATGGAAATGGATAGCATCTTCTTCAAACAAATAGGAGGGAGTTAAATCAGATCCACCGCCAAACCACCACATCTTGGGAGTACCATCAGGGTTCTCAATCTCGAAATAACGGTAATTTAAATGAACAGTAGGCGCATTAGGGTTGTGAGGATGGATAACCAAAGAGATGCCTGCAGCAAAGAAAGGCACAGGTCCATCAGCGCTGATATCTTTGCCTCGGTTGTGTCTCATTTGCTCTACAGCAGCCTTGGGCAATTGACCATAGACAATGGAAATACCAACACCCGCCTTTTCAAAGACATTGCCATCCTGAAGGACGCATGTAATACCTTCTCCACCTTCCGCACGCTCCCATGCAGTACGTGTGAATTGCTTACCATCGATTTGCTCAATGTCGTTTACAATACGGTTCTGAAGACCCTTGACAAAGGCTTCCATACGAAGTCTCATGGGATCAGTGTCATTAATTGGACCCTCTGTTTTCTATAATCGTGATTTTGACTCTTTATCAGCTTTGACTCTATTTCCTTATTATACCCATATCCCTCTCTTCATCGCGATTGCTACTTACACGTTGCTTGTCATCTGAAATTGCATCACAGTAGACCTGATAGATCAATATTGGTCAAAGAATATCCTCTCATCGCGATTCATTATGGTTGACATACCTCTTTGGCGTTATAGACAGTGAAAGCGACAGCGGCAGTTCCCAAAGCAGCCATGGAAGCTTTGTTTCTCCAAGCAGCATTCGCAGATGTTGCTCTTGATGTGGTGAACAAACGCTGGCTAGTCGAGCTATTGTAATAGAAGGCAGGTGAATGTTCGCTCTTTTTTTTTACCCCACATTGCCGAATGTTTCATACTAACAGTAATGAAGGTGTACGACGGAATGAACGAGCTGAGCTCACTATAAGATGGCATCGTTAGCAAAACGTCGTCTTACTGTGATATCAATCTACCACTTTACAAAGAGTTCTAGTCCTCAACATGATGAATTTATGTACAAAAGAAGATGTAAAGAGTCTTACTAATGCTTTTGATGTGATATTTAATTGAAAATAATTGAATTTTTATCGGACCACACAAGGGGTGCAACAGGGAGTTGCCAATCAAATGCAGTGCCACAGCTTGTACAAGATCCAGCATTCACAACTTGCCACTGTAACCTGACATGAGCTGTATAGACAGAGAAGCAGGCAAGACATGTACACAAGTCTAGAGTGTATGATCTACTCTAATACACTCTTCATGATACCTCTGTATACTGAAACATATCAGCAATGCTAGTCTTTGTTTACACAAACATGAAATTTGGCACTTGCAAGGTATTCCACACCTCCCAAGACTTTCTCCAGGCATAAGAAGGCATACTACTTGATGGCATGTCTCAATCCAGAGCCTTAGGTGAATAAACGCACAATACTATAGGGTATTACTCGGAAATTCTTGAACAACTATCAGACTCGATGATGCCTGTCATAGAATCATGATGTTTTCATGGTGCCTGTTGTCATGGCAACCTATTTCAGTTGTAAATCATCACTTCCAGAGTTCAAATGTGCCACAAGTAATGTATCTCATTGCACTCACGTAAGTGTAATGATTGGTTTATGGACGCGATAGAGCAGTGACTGTATCAAATGCCAGAGAATGGGAGACGAGATTCTTTTCTTTTTCTACTTGAGCCTCTATTTCAGAACGAGAAAGATATCAACAATTGAAAGCGTAGAGGGATACACTGACTCGTTTCTAGTATACTCGATAATACGTAGGATAAAATGGCCTTCAAATACGATCCTATGGACATTGATGGAGTCTCTCACAATGAGAACGAATTCTTGAGTGAAGACGACGAAATGGACATTGTTCATGAGCCAGTTATCAAACCAGCAGAATCTCCTATGATCTCGCTATTCTCTCAACACAATTACAAAAAGTCTATAGAGATATGTAATGGCGTTTCCAATTTGTTTGGCAAGGTCTCTATCAATGACGCTAAAAATGAGGCACCAAAAGACAGTGCTACGCAGAACAAAGTAAGTTGTCTGCTATTGATTCAGGCTTGAATTTGCTGTTAATCCTACTTTGCTTGTTTAGCAATTGGTTTCAACGCAAACTCCACCATTGTCACCAGAAAGACAGTGTCTATCAGTGAGTGTTATAGAGCACCCTACAACTGAAGGAACAAACACACCTGTATCACTTCCAAATTCATCAGGAACGCACACTTCCCCAGCTCATGAATCGACTCTCTCGACCACAGCTGGTAACCCCACTAGTCACTACAATCCTGCAACCAACTACCATTACAACCCTGCACCCAACTATCATGCCACTCATAATCCAACTATTGTATACCATGCCGCTCCACCCGTCGATGCCAACCATGGCCGTGTGGTATATATGCTTGGGATATTCAAGATTGTATGTTACTCTGTAGTGTTTTTCTCCTGTATGTTTGTGGGATATCATGCTATATTGAATTTGCATTATGATATGGTTTCTACGATTGAATCCTATGAATCGGGTAATGTCATTGTTGAATTTATATTGATTTGTACTCATGTGTGTATGCAGATCTTCTCACTGATCAATTGTATTGCCGGGAACAGTACGATGCCAATCTTTGTGGACCTAATACGCGACTCCCTGCTGTCAAAGACCTTTGCAGAGGTTGGGAACAATGCATGATGCGACCACTCAGTGTTGGAAAGACCAAAGTGATGGCCGAGATCATAGGCGATGCTGCGAATGGATTTTCCGAGATATTAAGTTTAAAAACCATGGTAACGTATTTAGATGAATATTGTAGTATTCATGTTGTCATTAATGGGTTATTTTCTTAGATCTATAGTCTTTGTATTGTGTATGGCTTCATGTGGTCTTTTACTCATATCATCAAGGCAAATTCATCCTCTGAAAACCATCCATCACGACCACAATTACCCAACAATTCGCCTCCTATTGATCAATCTAGATATCCTCCACTTGAATTCTCTCAAGCCAGCATTGTAAATAAATAAAAACCAATACATCAAATGGTAGTTTTGAATTTAAACGTATATGATGAATAAAAAAAATGTATTTACAGTTGAATATTTTCCATAATTTTATAGGGATCACCAGGATTTAAGGATGTGTTTTCAGTTATTAACAAGAAGTTGATATCTTTATCAGTATTTTCTTCTTGTGTCGCATAAATTAAGATTTCCACAAACAGCGGAAATTGCTGGAAAAAATCTTCCATGTCTTCTGTGATGAGAGGTTGGCCATTCTCTAATTGATGGTAGCTATAGACATGGCCAGTTCTAACTTTGATGAGTATATTGGAAAGGCCATGGAGACCTCTCTTTCTTGATTTGAACTTGTTGACAATGTCTTCAGATAATAGCTCGACATTATCTTCGAGTATGGGTAAACGGTGATCATACATTTCATCCTCCGGTGAATCTATCATCATTTCATCATCATCATGATTGCTGAGGTCCACCATCTTATTCGGATGACTGTATAATTTATTTGCTAGCCATTCTTCAAAAATACGGGAAATTGGAGTTGTTGCTTTGTTATTGCTTGTGCCCAAGGTTGGTAACTATATTTACTTATATTCGTTAATTTTTTTGATATGAGCATGTGGTGTATATGATAGTTTATACCGAAATAAATCGAACTCCACCGTCCATGAAATATGTGTTTTGACATTGGGAGATACGAACATTGGTAGGATCCAACATTTGATCCTGAAATGATTCAATGTCTTGATTTGAGTGCGTTGGGTATAAAATTAAGCTTGATAAATCATCAATTGCAGTGGCTAGTGTTTCATCGTCATCTTCGCTATCGTAGTAATGTTTGACTGATGTTGGCATCTTATTATTGTTATTTTGTTGCTTTGAAATTAAGGTATTTGTGGCTATATATATATATACACATTTAGTACAGTGTAAGGGTGTTTTCCCAGGACAATGCTTACCGTATTGATGAGGCTCAAATAACATTGTATATATAGTAAAGAGAGAGGATTTGTTGATGGAGAAATGGATAGAAAAAAAAAGAGAAAGAAAAAATCAGAAACCAAAAAAATACCTTTTTATATTGAGAAATTATACAGTGGTTTCTTAATCAAGTAATAGACATTGAATTATTATTAAGCCATGTGAGGTTATCGATTTGTGTACCTCTTTACAGCCATAAAGTCATGGGAAAGGAAAAGGGGGGATTGGATCGAGTATTTCCAAGGTGCAACACGCACGCACACTTGCTGCCCTCTTGCTGCCCTCTTGCTGCCCTGTTCACTGCTTCTCTATATGTGAGTTGTAGCGGCCCATTTATCACACTTGATATGTAAGGCGTGAAAATTTCTCATATATACAGTACATGGTATTATCTTTAAAACATCATCTTCCAATGAAAACGGCCGTTCTTCCAATAACCGGGTGTCACCTAGCCAATATCTTCTTTATCTAGTGCTACCAGAGATTTTCTTTTGGGTCATGCGTCAAGTATACATGGTGCCCTCTTCCATCCTTAAAAGAGTAGTATATGCATGACTTGAGAAACTTGCTCAAATTCAACATTTGAGCAACAAACGTCGAATAAATACAAAAGACCTCTGAGCAACAAATATACCTGGATCAACATGCAAGGTGTTCAACATTTGATATAGCCCTATCATCCACCAAGCAAGAAGATCCAAACAAAAGAAGAAACAGGCGAATTTGCAAATATTATTGATGTAAAAATTTAAAGTTTACATTTGTTCCATTCAAGTTGCTATTTACACAGTATCAATCGGATTAGCTTGCTATGTTACTACGGTCACTACGCTGCTCTGCTCTTCTGTCTCTTTTCTTTCATACACAATCACCTGTATAATGCAAGGAGAAGACAAATCCAATGGCTCCTCCTTTTGTATTTGATACCGAATCTGCTGTGTATCTACGAGTCAATGGTATATCTGATTGCATGATGTAATCTATTCGCTGTTCTCTTTTTCTTCCTCCTCTTTTTTTGACAGAGATAGATAACATTCACAAATGGGATTCATTGAATAGCTAATAAGCGAATCCATACAGCAAAAAACGTCATACAACTTATCCTACTAAAAGGCTTATCTATACATTGCAAATTAGGATAATAAAATTTAGTCGTCATGCATAATCATTTTGGAAATTGAATTGGATGTATTCTTTGGGAAGACAAAAATAGAGCGGTGAGGGGGCTTTATCTAATTCTTTTGCTGAGGTGCAATAACAAACTTGTATACAAGGATGCCAGCAACAGCAATTACAGGAAGGATCACTCTCAAAGCACTAATTTTACTCGAAAGTTAGATTTCACATTTCCCTTAAACATTCGAAAAATCAACTTACGATCCTTTGGGCTTTTGAACAGGTACCTGTGTTACAGGCTCTTGTTTCAATTCTTCTTGTTGTTCTACTACTTTTTCCTCGGTCTATCATTACAAATAAATACAAATAAGAAATGTCAAACGACTGGATCAATATTGTCTACCTGTGCGAAGCCTTCCAAATCACCAATATAGTAATCATTCAACCATTCGTAGGCTGCCTCAGAATGCCCAATGTCATTGAATGCGTCAGTGGCATCCTTACCGGCTTCCTCGTAAATAGCACGTTCGCCTAATATAGTAAGAAGATGTTAGTTTATCTACCCCCTTGAATACAGTAATCTATTGATCAGTGTACCTCCAGGATGCTATATGCGATAGATCAGATTTAGTCAGTTGAAATATTTATCCAAAGATCAAAAACTTACATCAGCAGCAAATGTTGTAACATTGTATACTTTTCCGTCAATCACTAGCCAAAGATCGCCTTTAACATTGTGCTTTTCGACCTCGCTTAATGAATAAATAGCAGACATGATAATGTAAGTATGTCCTTTTTCTGTTATATAGAGTGAGGGGTGGAGTAAACTACAAGAGAAAGCCTGAAAATAAACATTGCCCTATCTTTAATGGGCCTGTAAATTCAGTTTTTGCTTTTCCGCAGATATATCCGCCCATTTGATGGTGATTCTGTAGAACAATAGCTGGTAATGGAGACATGTTTGGTGCCAACGTTTAATAAAGTAACTGATATGGCGTGTCAGCAAAAACAAATTCGCACAGCAGCTCACTTTGTATCAGGGGTAGTTTTGATCGTGTCTCAAACTATTAAGAGTTTACATATTATCCTTGAATTCAAAGCAAAGGAACGTGTATTTTATTTTCTGTACGACAAACTCTGAACGAGCGTATAAACAAATACCAAGATTAGACAGAGATAAATAATTCTGACGCACAACATGCAATCTTAATGCTCCACGTTTTCATCCATTCAAACCTTAATAACAACATGCAAAAAAAAATTTAAAAAAAAGTAAGCCCAACGGGGGGGTCGAACCCCCAACCTTGAGATTAAGAGTCTCACGCTCTACCGATTGAGCTAGCTAGGCGGATGCTTGAATGGCTCACTTGGTTAGAGCTTCATGCGGAAGCAGTGAGTATGCCGAGAGGTCGTGGGTTCGAATCCCACCTTCGCATCCATATTTTCCGCCTTTCTAACCTGGCATGTTACTCGGTATTTGTGCTTGCACGTTTAGGTGTGCTGCGGTGCGTCTGGCCGGTTTCTACCTTGAGTCCTGTTCGTCTCCCCCGTCTTGCGGCGCGGCCATTGCCATTCCTCCCTCTGTTTCTCCTCCTCTCTGGTGGGTTTTGATGCCGTTTACTTTATTGGTCCCCTCCCTTTTAGCAGCTCCCCTAACCTTTAATTTAAAACATGCTTTTCCCCGCCGAATCACTGTTAGTCTTGCAATATATGATCATACCGATTCCGCAGTTGACTACATTTGTAAATAAATAAAAAACCAATATTAAACTGAGCTAGCTAGGCATCTCTTCCCGTTTTTCGACACTTTTTGCCACCCTCTTCGGAAAAAGTATCCTGAAAACCACAAAAAACGTAATATCTCATCATCCAGTACTCCAATCCGCTCGAAATTGTACCAGTATACTTGCATCCATCAACAGTTTATTGTGTTATAATTTCAGAATTGTCGTACACCTGTTTCATATTTTTTCGAATTGTTGGAATTTCAAAAAATATTCAACGCCATGGACACCAATCTACAAGCTCTGGATATGAGTCACTTTCCAGCGATACTGCAACAAATCCAGCAACAACTTACTTTGGTAACAGAGAAAGTTAACAAGCATGAGGACCTCCTTACACGTTTGGCTGCTTTGGAACAAGAAAACAAGGATCTGAAAAAAATTTTACAAGACAAAGACCTGGTTATTCAAAAATTACAACAAGGTCCAGTTACTAGTCACACCACTTCTCCTGGTTCGGGTCGACCGAAGGGGGGCGAAAGTTCCTCTATCCCAGTGTCTCCAAAGCCTCTCAAGGAAGCTCCTAATTTCGCCCAAATCGCTACTGCTGCTGCTCACAAGCCTGATCCTAAGAAAAAAGACAAAAAACGTCTTGCTGCTGGTCGTGCCTTTACCACTCCTGCTACCAAAGGTGTCCAGGGCTATCAATATGTATATATTGGTAGATCCCGAAAGATCCAACGTTCTGAAGTGCGTAAGCATCTAGCTAATGCTAGTGTTGATCTGGGTCGTGTCTTGGATATCTGCTTTCCTGCCTCCCATATTATTGGTGTTCTGTTGCACGTTCAATACGTTGAGGAATTTACTGCTTTATTGACCAAGGCTAAGGGTGAACTGTTTCCTGCTTTTGATCCATTGGACCCCAGCAATATTGCTGATCCCAAGTACGCCAGCCTCTCTGATGATGATCGTCATGCTCTGATCCACCAATTTACTGAAGCTCGCTGCCTGCAAACTTTGTCCTTCCTCCGCCCACTTAATGTTAGTGGTGTCGGTAAGTACTTTATACAGAAAGGTTGGATCTGCGATGAAAGTCTCTCTGTTGCCGTTGCTCAGGCCGTTGAACGCTTTGCTAAGAAGGAGCCCAAAAAGGCTGATTTCCTGTTCCGTCGCAAGCTGAACTCTGATTCCCAGGACAAGGCTGGATCTGATAGTGATATGTCTGATGTGGATCAATAATGAGTTCCTTCTCTGCCCCATCTATACTGCCTAATAATGTTAATGTGCCTGTCTCCCCGGTTTTCGTCTCTCTTTCACTCTGGAATGCCAATGGTCTTCGCCAATCAACAGTCCATGATGTTCTCTCTCATGTACTGGATACTCAGGTTCTGCTGGTTACTGAAACTTGGCTTACATCTGGCTCTTTTCCAACAAACTGGTCTCAATTCCATCTCTATGGTTCAAAAGTACCTGGTGCTTTCAATCGTGGTTCTGGTGGTGTCACTGCCTTTGTCTCTCCTTCCTGTCCCTTCACTGTCTCCCAACTACCTTCTTATAATCCGCACACTCTGTCTCTAAAGGTTGGCACCCTTACGGTTCATTGTGTTTACTTTCCTCCACCCTTATCATCTGATAAGGTGCTCTCGGCCCTTAGTTCACTACCTATGACTAGGGATACTATCCTCTGTGGCGATTTCAATGCTCGGTTGGGTTCTCTCACTGGTGATGCTATCTCCAATGCTCGTGGTAATGCTCTCAAACCTTGGTTTGATGAACATTGCTTGTCTGTGCTCAATGCGTCTTTGGCTTTTGGCGTTACGACGTACTCTTCTTTTCGGCAGCAGCAAGAATTGAGTAGTGTCATTGATTTGTTTTTGACAAATATTGGTGATGTTGCTTTGGTGAATCCTCAACTGGTGGTTGAGTCTGATCTGTCTCTTGGTTCTGACCATCGATTGATGTCACTTACTTTCGGGTATGTGCCACCTCTCGATGACACTCTGGCTCCTGGTGATTCTGTTCTGGCTCCTCGGCGTCAATGGAAGCTCTCGAAATTGACGAAAGAGAAGCCTTTGGGCTTACTCCGTGAATCCTTTCGATCTTCTGTTGCTCCTCTGGTTGTTACTCTCTCTGGTTTGGTGTCTGCTCCTCCTGGTGTCCGTCCAGATATTGATGCACTCAACGATTCTTTGAATCAATGTTTGTATGAATCTCTGGATAGTTCTATTGGTGTAAAATCCGGTCGTCCTGGCCATTGGAAGAAGTACTGGACACAAGAAATTCAGGATGCTGCTACTGCACGCGATCGCTCATATAGTCAATGGAGGCATGCCTTTGGTATTGCCAAAATTGAAAAATGGTTCTTATACAAAGTTGCTCATCGCAAGTTTCGTTCCCTGGTACAAGCTGCAAAGCGAAGGTCCTGGCAACAATTTTGTACTGCCCTGGAGTGTGATTTCTCAAAAGCTACTGCTGCTATTAAGCGCATCAAGCGTAATAAAGAATCCTCTCCTACGTACAGCCACCCTGATGGTCCTGCTGCTTCTGTCTCTGCTATGGGTTCTCATCTCGCCTCGGTGTATGATGGCTCTCTGCTTGCCACTGCTACTCGTCCTGCTGCTCCTCCCACCTTTGACTCTGTTCTGCCTTTCTGTGTGCCTGTGGACATGTCACTGTTTGATGTTGATACTTTAGTATCTCATATTCGACGGCTCCCAACACATAAAGCTCCTGGTCCAGATCATATCAAGGCTGAGATGCTCAAGTCCTTGGTCTCTGAGATTGCTCCTGTCTTGTCGTTGCTCTTCAAATTGTGCTATCAATGGTCGTATACTCCTGCTCTCTGGCGCCAAGCCCAAGTCTTTCCCATTTTCAAGAAAGGTGATGCTTCTGACCCCGCCAACTATAGGCCTATTTCTCTGACTTCTGTTGTGCGCAAACTGTTTGAGTTCTCTCTCATGCCTGAGCTGGATGCCCATTCTCCTGCCCTTGACATTGCCCAAGGTGGTTTCCGCCCTCAACGTAGTCCTCTGGATCAAGCCCTCTGCTTGCATGACTTGATGCATGATTACTTTGTTGCGCACCGTCGTCGTCCTGTTGTCGCTTTCTTGGATATCAAGTCAGCATATGACACAGTCGATCGTCGTGTTATCTGGTCTGCTTTGGCTGGTTCTAGTCTTCCTCGTGCTGTTCTGGGTCTGTTGATCAACATGTTTGATGATGTGTCTGTCTCTGTCTTGATTGCTAATCACAACTCGACTGTCTTCTCTCCTGTCACTGGTGTTCTGCAAGGCTCAGTGCTCAGTCCTCACTTGTACTCGTTGTATATCAACTCTTTACCAAGTCTTTTGCGTTCTGGTGCTACTGGTGCTACTATGCTGCCTGTGCCTGGTGCTGATGCTCCTATTGCTATCAATAGTCTCCTGTTCGCTGATGATGTGGCTGTCTTTGGTTCAAAGTCTGAGGTTCAGCGTATGTTGGATCTTGCTGCTGGTCATTCTGTCTCTCTTGGATATAGGTGGAAGCCTTCCAAATGCGCTGTGCTTGGTACTGCTGCTGCTCTTGCTGGTTCTCCTCTGGTACTATACAATGAAGCCCTGCCTGTCGTTGACGAATTTACATACCTTGGTATGCCATTCCGATACAAAGGCCTGCATGCTCCTGGTATTCTGTCTCTGCGTTCTGCTGGTGCTGTCAAGACCATGGCTCTGTTAAACTCTGTTGGTGTCAACCGCAATGGTTTCTCTTTGCTGCTCTCCTCTCGCTTGTACAGGACATTTATTCGTCCTAAGCTTGAATACGGTCTGGCCATCTCGCATCTCTCTGCTCGTGATTTTACTGCTCTGGATACTCTGCAAAACCGACTTGTTGGCATGTTTGTGGGTAGTACTTGGGTCAATGTCGCCAAGCACATTACCTGTCTTCCCAGTATCAAACATCGCTACAATGTCCTGGCTACCCGTTTTGCTCTGCGTGCTGATACTCTGCCTGACGATTGTCTGCTGGTTCTGCTTCGTGCCCATTTGCACTATACAAGGTTGGATCGTTTTAT